GCGCAAGGCGCGGCGGCCCAAGAACGGCAGGGAGACTGAGTTCTATGATGATGAGGCTTTTTTACAGCAAATCGGCGCATATGCAAAAGAAAGGGTAGTGCAGGCTATACGTATCGGTTGATTAATGAATAGACAAAATATGCAACTTGCAAGTTTACATACGGGCTCCGGGGTAAACGCGCAGATTTCAATGGCAGACTGACTACTCATGGGTTTTGCAATTCTAGCTTTGATGATGCTATGCTTCATAAAAAAACATGTGGTATATACACAGTGATCCTTTTTCTCAGTCATGGTGTGCTCATACAACCAAACCCGTGCTCTCCTTACAACTTGGCCACCAGCTTGCTGCCCTGCGACAGGCAGGCGGCGGCGTCGTTGACAAACTCGTCGACGACGGCCTTGGCCGACTTCTTCTCGCGGACGACGGCGGCGCACTGGCCCATGAGGTAGGGCCTGAACTCGTCCATGAGGTCGTCAAAGTCGATCTCGTCGGGGTTGATGTCCTTGGGGTCCTTGCCGGCGGCCTTGATGAGGGGCTCCGAGATCTCGCCGGCCATGAACTTGTCGAGGTCGGCCTCGTAGGGCAGCTTGCCCTGGGCGGTCAGGTCCTTGATCTCCTGGGCGCGCTCCTCGTTCCAGTTCATGATGTAGGGGTTCTTGCGGACGCGCAGGGGCCGGCCGGTGAAGATGAGGGTGCGGACGGTGTCGTCGAAGCCGGCGGTCTGGACGGCCTCCTTGTGCGAGTCGGGCGCGCCGGCCTCGTCGGTCAGGATGAAGCGGGTGCCGACCCAGACGGCGCTGGCGCCCATCATGAGCGAGGCGGCGAGCAGCTGGCCGTTGTGGATGCCGCCGGCGGCGACGACCTGGACGGGGGCGCCCGTGAGGGGCGACTTCTTGCCCTTGCAGAGGCGCACGACCTCGGGGATCAGGATCGTGGTGGGCACGTCGCCCGTGTGGCCGCCGCCCTCGCCGCCCTGGGCGCAGATGATGTCGACGCCGAGGTCGAGGCACTTTTGCACGTGCTTGGGGTGGCCGATCATGTTCATGTAGAGCACGCCGGCCTTGTGGAGGCGCTCGACGACGGCCTTGGGGGGCACGCCGACGGCCGAGACGAAGACCTTGGCGCCGGACTCGATGACGACGTCGATGAGCTCGTTGAGCTTGCCCTTGGTGTAGTCGTAGCTGTGAGGGGTCCGAGGGTCAGCCTTTTTCTTGCCGCTTGCATGCGCTGGGTGTTGGGAGAGATGGTGGGCAGTAGAAGGGAGGAGAGGAGAGGAAACCTACTTGGTCTTGCGCGCGTTGCCACCAACCTGGGGGAGGAGCAGGTCAACGCCAAAGGGGGCCTTCTTGTCGTCGAGGAAGGACTTGAGCTCGTCAATCTGCTCGCGCAGCATGTCCGGGGTGTAGTTGACGCCGCCGATGACGCCGAGACCGCCGGCGTTGGTGACCGCGGCGGCGAGCTTGGGGCCGGCCGCGACGTTCATACCGGCCAGGATGACCGGGTGCTTGATCTTGAACAGATCGGTGACCGTCGTGCGGATCTTCTCTGGGAGGCGGGAGGCGCCATTGTCAGCATCGTACGTGGCGTTTCGGCGAGTTTCCGTGAGACACGGGGGATCAGACTTACGAGGAGAGGCCATGATTGGAAGTGTGTATATATTTGAATTGGCAAACGTTTGGCAATGAAACTATGGCTGGCTTGTCTTGGGAATGAGGAGATCAAGAGAGAAGAAATAAGAGGAGAGGGCAAGACAAGAGTCGGGGTATCATAGAAAATGAGGAGAGTGGAGGTTTTGCGTAGCAACCAAGAGCTGAGAGGCTATCCTCACTTGAGATGCGCCTGTGCATGTGGACAGGCATTGGGAAGAAGATGAGCCGAGGTCCCCCCCCTCGTTGCGGCGGATATAAGCTGGAGGTCATGAGCGGAGGTTTAGCGCTTGCTAAGACGCTAAATAGGCAGCCTGGGGTAACGACTTGGGGGAACCGAGGCACGCCACTCAAGAAAGCAAAGTCCGGAAAGGTGAGAGCCTCAACTGTTCAGACTGTTTGGGAGGACTTGAAGCACTCTGGATTTGATGTGCTCTTTGATGGGGCCGTCAAACTAGAGCAATCAAGCATATTGATCCTTCAATCGCAAGTAGCGATCCTTCGGGCTGCTCTGAGAAATACATCACTTGGCAAGGCCTCTCACGTCAGCAACATGTAGACTCGAATGATGATTAATCCATCTGTACTTGAGTTGCCAAAGGTAGGTACCTATGTATCTGTTAAGGGTTGTACTCAATTATGGGCAAACGATGCACAAAGTCATCACAGCCAAAGCATAAGTTCATGGAGCCTCACTGGTCTTCCGATTCATGTCTGGCGGTCCAAGATTCCAAACCTGTTCGGCATTGGCACTTTGAATGGAGGATGCAGTATTGGGGCAATTGTTATCCCGATACAAAGCTTGAAAAAGCGACAGTACAGTTGGTGGACATCGGGATGCTGGAACCGTTGGTGTCGGGCTCTCTCTCTCTCTCAAGGATGAGCTAAGATGGATCTGGACAGCCAGCCCACTTGCAACTCACTCACTGGAACCGGTCGTCAGACGGGCTGGATTTCAGCGATGTGCGGCACGCTTTATCAATCGAATCAGTGATATCCTACAGCGCACAGCCGCCCCCACCCTCATGTGACAAGCTTCCAAAGCGCTCCCGGGTCCACTGTAAACTTTTTCCCAGAGTGCCCAAGGCCCTGAGGAACAAGTGCACCAAACGTCATATTGCACCGTCCAATCAGAACCCAGCTTACTCTCATTTTGAAGATTCATCTCAGCACCATCATGAGCAGTGCCATTGCCCCATAATGTTCAGGAGCCAGGCCTGCCTTGCTGTGCTTCCGGGACTGAAAGAGACGGCTTCACTCATATCAAGACCCAGGCGCAATGCCTTTGCCTGCTCCCGGGTGTTAGCAAAGTCCCAGCCAAGCAAGAGCCGCTTCTCCCTGTCAGCTTGGCAGCTTGCAGCAAAAGGATTCAAAAAGTACACGATGCCGGCCGCCCCGGTCACTGGTGCAGAGCACATCATCAGCCGTGGCACTGACGATGCCCTCCCCCAAGGCAAGCGCACCGCCTACATCGCCCTGGGAAGCAACCTTGGCGACCGCATCGGATGGATCCAGAAAGCCTGCGATGAGATGGATGCTCGAGGCATCAAGGTGAAGAGGACTAGTAATCTGTGGGAGACAGAGCCCATGTATGTTCTGGACCAAGAAAGATTTGTCAATGGTGCCTGCGAGGTGTGTGCAATTGGAGTCCCTGCATGAGTCTGTTATGAGCATGCTGACGACCATCCCCCGCAGGTTGAGACAGAGTTGAAGCCTTTAGAGCTTTTGGATCAGCTCCAGGATATAGAAAACTCCCTTGGCAGGAAGAAGATCATTGATAAAGGGCCTCGAAATATTGATCTCGACATTCTCCTGTACGAGGACGAGAAGGTCAACCATGAAAGGCTCACCATTCCCCATATCGGCATTCCGGAGCGCGAATTTGTGCTTCGACCACTCGTAGAGTGAGCCCTCCCATCATGGCCTTCTGGAGGGGCCAATGTTAACAGTTCTTTCAGGCTCATACCGCACAAGCCGTTAGAACCCTCGCGGCCCTGGAAACTCTTACAGGACTATCTCAACGAGTTGCCGCCATCATCAACACCTCTGACCACGATGACGCCTTTGTCAACGCTTCAGGAGCCGCTGCAGCCCCTCAGGCATAACAGAAGAACCCATGTCATGGCTATTCTCAACATGACCCCTGATTCGTTTAGTGATGGGGGATTGCACGCACCTTCGGATCGATCATCCCTAGTTGAGACGATCAACGCATTTGTCAAAGCAGGGGCCACCATGATCGATGTCGGCGGCCAATCTACCGCACCCGGCAAGCCAGAGGTCTCTGCTGAGGAAGAGATCTCTCGAGTGGTGCCGGCCATCGAGCTTATTCGAAGCCTGCCCGAGGCCAAGGGCCTCGTTATCAGCGTGGATACGTATCGTGCCTCAGTTGCCGAGGCCGCAGTGGCGGCTGGAGCGGATATGATCAACGATGTGTCGGCCGGAAACATGGACGCGGAAATGCTGGACACGATGGCCAGGCTCGGCAAGGCGGTGTGTCTGATGCACATGCGGGGCACGCCCGCCAACATGAACGACCTCAACGACTACGGCGAGGAGGGCCTCATCCCCACGATTGCTCGCGAGCTGGTCGAGCACGTTGCTGCTGCCGAAGCCGCTGGTATCAGGAGATGGCGCATCGTCCTCGACCCAGGTCTGGGGTTCGCCAAGGTGGGCGAGCAGAATATCGATGTGCTCCGGCACCTCGACGAGCTGCGGAACTGGCCCGGGCTGCAGGGCCTGGCGTGGCTCGTGGGATCCAGCCGCAAGAGTTTTATTGGGCGCATCACGGGCGTGCCCAAGCCGGCGGAGCGCATCTGGGGCACTGCGACGACCGTCGCGGCGGCGGTCCAGGGGGGTGCCGACATCGTGCGCGTGCACGATGTCCAGGAGATGGCGCAGGTAGTCACGATGGCCGACGCCATTTGGCGTTATCGGTGCTGAACTCGACACGGCCTCGAGGTAGAATAGGACTTCTTCCGGGAAAAAAAGAAAAAAAAAGGAGGTCCGATGCTGGTACTTCAACGTCCAAATCACTCCAACGGTTCCAATGGAAACTGCGAAAACCAGAGCGCAAATAGCTCAACCACGTGAAGAAGACTTGGCAAAGGCTGCCTGTGGCCCGGCGTTTGGCATGGGGAGTATAACCTGCGCAAGAAGTGTATGAAGACTTATACCGGGGCATAGCAGAAGCAAGAAACTACACAGGATTTACAGCACAGAACTACAGAACAACAGAACAACAGCATCCACGTTTAGTATCTTGAAAACACCGCTCTGAACGTCTTCGAAGGCCGGCTCGTCCTATTTAATTATCATGTCAATTACTACCGATAGTTTGGGGGAGGCAAGTCTCGCTTCCAACGCTGGGTCTATGAGCACATCTATAAGCACACCTGCGAGCACACCTGCGAGCACACCTGCGAGCACACCTGCGAACACATTTGTGCGTTTCACCCATATTCGAGAATGCGATTCAGATGAATGGATCGGTGCTATTGCTCAAGTCAGTGCCGGCGACCTGAACAAGACCCCCAAAATCCAGGACAGATACGCTAAAACTTCACAGAACTCCGTACGCCCGCCAGCCCAGGAAGATTCTCCCCCCGTGACAGTACTCCAACTCGAGAATGGTAGACCCAAGCGGGCTTACCAGGTTCCTCCGCGTAATGCTGAGCACTTGTCCCGGTTCCAGGAGAAGGACCTCCACTCGATGCGCCGACAATGGCGACAGGAGGCATACGCAAGGCAATTCGAGATGGAGGAGAGAGACGATGTCCTAGCTCCGTACTGCGAGAACCACCACCGCAGGGACTGCGGATGTGTACTGCAGCAATCGCGACTGCGGCTGCGGCAACAGCAGCGGCAGCAGGGATGGTCACCAACAGCACCTGAAGGGGGAAGCAGAGAGGAGCTATCCCTTGAGACCCCAGTTGCCATGGCTTGCGATGTCCTAGAAGGCTTCACGAGGAACAGCGATGCTGCGGCAGGCCAGCTGTTTGATGTGGAGAGAGGAGATGGGAGAGGGAGAGGAAGAGTTTGCGAGGAGTAATCTTGTCGAGCCTTATGGGATACATAGCAGCGAGTTCGGACAGGGAGTTGTCAGCATGCTCTGCAGTCAAGAGTCGGGGAGTTGCAGGCATTGCATTCGATTCAAGGCGATGAATCACCTCAAGATACCCTCCATATAGCAGCGATATCCATCATCGTTAGCGAATCAGAACGAGGGTTGAATCAAGTCCCTTTGGACCATCACCAGATGGAGCCAGATCTAACTATGCCGACCTTGACATGTTCAGCGCAGGTATTCCAATCACGCCGGCCCCAAGCCTGGCCGCGCAACAAGGTCATAGTTATGGGATGAACTTGGTCGCAAGCCAAGCATTGGCGACCCTCCGCCCTTGGCATGGATACATGGCGTGCCTGAGCCTCTTCTTCTGGCGGTCACGGTGGGTTGTAAAAGCTTCTTTGTTCTTAGCTATCACATATGATCTCATAGCTGTCACAGTCCTGGGTTAGCGTACCCGCGCACCGAGAAGTGCCTGGCCTAGAGTTTAGACCATTTCGCGAGACGTGCTAATAAACTTCCAAGGTTGGATCTCCGCCCAGCGCTTCGGGGAGAAGCAGGGGGGCCAAGTTTGTGGATCTTGCAAGGGGGTTGTCAATCAATCAATACACCCATTTTCATCACTCATTGCATTATCTAATTCTTGATACATTGTACCTATCGAAAGGCATCCTCGCGAGCTGGCGGTAAGCCAAATCGGTCAAAGGAAGGGACTTAAGAATCGTAGTGTTTTCAAGATGCCAGAAACCCAGGATGGTAGCCCGGCTAGCCACTCGAATTCTTTCGCCATTCAAGGAGGCCTCACTGCTACGTGGGTGGGTGAGTTGGCATAAATGACGATCCTGTCCGTCCAGTGACGACAGGAAAGACACTCGCTTGCAATACGCTGTTATCTGAACCACATGAAACATGCCCAGATGGGCCGTCCCGCCAGCAGATCCCCTGGCCGCGAGCGACAACAAGCTAGACCATATAGACCCTGCAAGCCATCGTTTTGGGAGACTTCTTGGCAATGATGACCACAGCTCGCACCAATTTTCAGCTGACAATCGTGTTTCTCGTTGCTTTTTAATTACTCTCTTCTCTCTTTTGATTGCGGAAAACGTCCATGGACCTCTCGCTCCTCTCCCTGTGCTCCTGACACCGGCTGTCGGGCGATTCATTCGTGAAACCTCAATATCGTGAGCTGCTTTACATAACTGTATGCAGCGCCTCACTTGATCATTCCTTCCTCGCCCTCTTTTGATTTCGCCTCGAGCATTGCCAGAAGTTCTTCTTCTATCCTCCACGCTCCTGACCCCGTGCTCAAACGTCAACCCGTTCGATGGCGACCCAACGAAGGTCCCCCTCGCTGAGCGGACCTGAACCCGGAAAAGTCTCACCGCGCAACACAGAACTGCCTCCGCCCAACGGCAATGCCAGCGAGAAGAAGACCCCGGGCATCAGGCCTGCTGGCGAGAGTGGCCGTTCCGGCATTCATCCTCTGCACTTCTTGGCAATATGCTTCCGGTCGTCGAACAAGGTCTCGGCGAGTGTGAACATCCTTTGGCCGCTGGTCCCCGTGGCAATTGCACTTCGATACGCCCTCACCGACACTGTTCCTCACCATCTGGTCATCTTTATCACCTCGTACCTGGCCATGGTTCCCTGCGCCAACCTGATTGGCTTTGCCGGTCAAGAACTCGCTCGGAAGGTGCCTCACGTCTTTGGCGTTCTCATCGAGACAACGTAAGGGGCCTCCGAGAGCAGAGGAGAAAGCAGACCCTTTCCAAAGGCGCATGCTAACGCGACGAATTATAGAATCGGCAGCATTGTGGAAATCATTCTCTTCATGATCCTGCTCTCGAGGGACCTGTTCCAAGTCATCCAGGCTGCGATCCTAGGTTCCATCCTGGCGACCATGCTCCTCTGCCTCGGCTTGTGCTTCTTTGTCGGCGGCCTCAAGACCGATGTCCAGTCCTTTAGCGAGACGGTTAGCGAAGCAGGAAGTGGCCTCCTACTCACAGCGTAAGCCACTTGCCGCTGTTGGCATTCACCACGATGGTAATAGAGTGTGATGCTGATGCGAAATACAGGGGCTTCGGCCTGGCCATCCCTACAATCTTCCGCCGCTCCTTGGCTGGCGGTTCGCTGACGGACGAGGAGCTCGCGACCAAGGGCCTCAACATTTCCCGCATCATCGCCATCCTCCTGTTCATTTCCTACCTCGTCTTCGTCTGGTTCCAGGCCAGGACCCACCACGGCCTGTACGAAGACATCTTCGAAGAGGACGAGAGGATCGACGACGACCGGCACCGAGATATGCGAAAGGCCAAGCTCACCCTGACCGAGAGCCTGCTGGCTCTCGTCATCTCAGTTGGCCTTGTTACCGTCATTGCCCTGAGCCTCGTCGAGCAGATCCACAACATGGTCACGGACCGGCACATCTCGGACGCCTTCATGGGCCTGATCCTCGTGCCGCTCGTCGAGAAGGCCGCCGAGCACCTGACGGCCATCGACGAGGCCTGGGACAACCAGATGAACTTTGCCCTCGCCCACGTCCTCGGCGCCACGCTGCAGACCGCCCTCTTCAACGGGCCCCTCGTCGTCATCGTCGGCTGGGGCCTGCACAAGCCCATGGGCATGGAGTTTGAGCTCTTTGACATCGCCATGCTGATCCTGGCGATCATCACCGTGGGCAACTTCCTGCGCGACCAGAAGAGCAACTACCTCGAGGGCTTCCTCTGTGTGATTGTCTACATCGCGATCGCCGTCGCGGCCTACAATTATCCGAACCCTCAGCCGCATGGTGCTGGTGCTGGCGCTGGCGGTGAGGGAGCAACAACAACCGGGGGCGGTGGGCATTGAGTACAGAAAATAAGAGAGAGGAGTGACGCCTATAACGGACATTATGAAGCTGCATCGTTGAACAGGCATTTTCTTGGAAGCGCTTTCATTTGCTGACGACGTCGCTCATACACGATTTATGAACGGTTTGGCGAGGCGTTATCGGATGTGTAAGAAAAACAAATAGTTCCTCGCTTTCAGATCGATGAAATAAAAGATGCATACTATTTTCATTATCACTTTGTCCGACATGAATTCTGAATCCGGGACGAGAAGCCCGGAGCTTGTTATGTACAATGACTGGGGGCAAGACCAAACCCCAAGCAGCTCAGAAGAACAGGAGATCCTCGTCTCTCCAGCCCATATCGTGGAATATCTCATGCACGCTCTTCTCCATGGCCGGCGGTCCACAAATCAGTACTAGATCGGCTGCACCATCTCGTGGACTCCCGACCTCTCTCTCGAACAATGCCTTGTCCATTCTGCCCTTGAGACCAGTCCACTGATCTCCCGGTTTGGACAGCGAGTAGAGGAGCCGGCACCTCTCGGCGTTGGCCGCGGCCATCTCGTCAAGCTCCTCCTTGCACAAGATGTCCTCTTCAACTCGGTTTCCATCCAATACAAGACACGAAGTCGAATCGTCCTTGTCGTTCATCACCGCCCGCAGGACCTGGAATATGGGCGTGATGCCCGACCCGCCACAGACCATGACGAACCTCCTCACCAGCCGCTCCTTGCCGCCGACGGTGCACCTCCCCCCGCCAACGTATTCGAACTTGCCCACCGGGCCTTTGAAGTCGGCAAAGTGGCCGACGGGGATGCTGTCGAGCGCCTGCGTCATCTTGCCGCCCGGCGCGTCGGCCGTCTTGGGGTATATCTTGACGAGGACGTCCAGCGCGCCCCTGGCGGTCGTGCCGTCGGAGAGGGGCGTGTAGGCGCGGATGATGGCCTCCCGCGTCACGGGGTCGCGCAGCCGCAGCATGAGGTGCTGGCCGACGGGCAGGCCGACGGCCTGGGCGGCGTGGTCGAGCCTGAAGGTGAAGATCTTCGAGTTGGAGGAGACGGCGCGCTTTGCGGTGAGGATGGCTTTCGACCAGACCCTGGGCTGGAGGAATACGGGGCGGGTCGCGGAGCTTGACTCGCTCTCTGGCTCGGCGAGGGCCGTGAGGGACTCCTTGTCGAGTGTGCCGATGTGGTAGTCTGGCATCATGGCTTTTGCATTTTCGGAGTCTTTATTGAAGGGGTGTTGTCAGTCTGGATCAATCCTTTATCATGAAAGAATGTGGGCAACTTACGGATAGCCATGAACTCTTCCGTCACGTCCTGCCCTGCCGCACCCACTATGGACGCTGCACCGCCTGGGTGGCCCTCGAGGAACTTGGTGCCGTCATAGACATGTCCGTTGACCACGAACCATGGCTCGTCCTCGCCGTCGTGCTTCTTCAGCTCCTCCAGAGCAATGCTTTTCTTGACCTCGGGCTTGGTCATGCATATCTCCCGTGCTGGCTCCTCGGCTGTCTCGGTCTCTTCCTCCCCAGACATCTTCTCGCCCCAGAAGCCGTTGGAGAGATTTCCTCCCGCCTTCTTCACCCGCTCCATCCATCCTCCCGGTATAAGCGCCGGCTGGGTAGGGTGCTCGAACCGCAGATTGTGCCCTTCGTTGTGGATGACTATCCTGTACCAGGGGTTGTTCATCATGCCCAAAACGCTCCAGTACATGTCCCTAGGCTGGACCATCATCGAGTCGTCCATGGCGCGGACCATGATGTCCCCAGCGTCTCGCAGGTCGGATACGGGGACATCGAGTTCCCAGAAGCACCAGCAGAAGCACGCTTCTCTCCACGATAAATCGACCTTGCCGCCGTAGAGCGTCTCTCCTTCTGGGGCGAGCCGATAGTCGTCCTCGGGATATCTGATATCCGCTAGTGTCCAGTTCTTGCCCTTGTCAAGCGTGATCTCAACGCGAGTGACCCTTTTGCCTCCACCAGCATACGCGTAACCGCGAACCTTGGATGTGGTCTCGACAGTGGCATTTACCAGAGATAACCTCTCGTCATGGGCAGGGTAGCAAGGTGCTGAATTCGTGTTGAGGTCGTAGATCGCATACCGCTCGTCAGCCCAGGTCTCGGGGAGGTCAGCGCTCGCTTCAGGTGTGATCATTGTCGGCAAGACTCGGTTATCATAGATGTGATACCAGTTGTCACTCGGCTCCGAGGTGACGATGATTCTCTTCAGCCACTTCACACTCCGCCCTCCAATCTGCCCGGGGATGACGATCCGCAGGGGCTTGCCATGGTCTGGATGCAAGGCATCGCCGTTCATCTTGTGCGCGACGAGCACGCCGCGGTTGGGGTCGATGGCCCAGTTCAGCTTGATGGAAGTACCGTAGTATCCGTTGGGCAGCTTATCGGCACCCTCGAAACAGACATACCTCGCCCCGCGCTTCGGCATGGCCCGGGCGATGAGGTCCCCTAGAGGTACTCCCGTCCACAGCGCAGTCGACAGCCCGGCGGCACCCCATGAGAACCCCTTGGTCTTACGGACCACGTTCTGTTCTTTCCTGCGGTTTCCCGCGCAGACCAGCGTGATGGGGTACGTCTGCTGTTCGTAGTCCCGGAGCAAGTCTCGTAGCGTCAAAGTCACGGGCATTTCGACCATGCCCTCCACCGTGAACGTCCAGTCCAAGACGTCAGCGTCCTCCACCCGAGGGACGGGCCCGTGGTTGCGCACATAATGCAGGTTTTCCGTCGTCAGGAAACCCTCGTCGTACAAGTCGCTTAGGGGCGCCTCGACATTGAACGGATGGACACCGGTCAGCCGAATCAGCCGCGAATCTCGGGGAACATGGTTGTCCGGAGTCTTGAGGTCCTCCGGGAGGACTTGAATTGGTTGGGGTACGGGAGGCAGGGGATACGGCCGAGACGGCTGCTGATCGGCGCCGTCGTCTGATGACCCAGAATGCTCGGAGCCATGGCTGCTTCTTACGCTAGGGGCTCTTGACGGTTTGGCAGTGGGCGCCGGGCTGGGCGGGAATTCGATTCCCGGACCAGGCGTTGGAGAGGTCTCTGTTCCAACTTGTGATAGAGGAAGGACCTCCATGGCAGATAATGCTCGAAAGTGATCAAGCCTCTCGGGTTTGGCTGTGTTGAGAATGCATGAAAAAGCAGACAGACGACAGCGGAGCACGATATACTTTGCATGTATGAAAAGGTACTCTTATCAATGCATGAACAACATAAGCAACGGGCGGGACGGTAGCGTTGTCCTTATTCCCATCGTGCCTTGAATACAGGGCGGTTCCAGAAAGACGGGAGGAGACAAGAGCTAGACTCAACTTATACGGGAAGAGAAGGTATGGAAACAGAGGCAGGAAACCTGCCACGCGGGACAAGAGAGTGTGAAAACATGATCTAGACTAGAGGATATAGCCCTTAGATCCAGCCTGCGTCGTGGAAGAGGCCGCTTAGCCGCTTACACGAGCCATGATGTGCAGCGAGGGACCCCAGAACAGTCCCAAACCCGCGTGAGATGCCCAAGGCTCGTGACGAAAGCAGTACTTCTCCAGTGAGCCACGAGCTTGGTATTTCTATTTCCGCGGGACATGCGTCTGCTTTAGCTCTGCAGTGTCACCGGCGGGTCGGCAATGGATAAGAGTGTGTCTTTGGTTGATTCCTTATCAGTTGCCAGGAGGTCGAGGGCGGCGATGCCACGGAAGTGTCAAATCAGATCGGCGCCGGCTGGGGCAGAGATAAGGATATCCGCACAGTCAGAGATACGCCAACGGCTGGTCAACATCTTGACAAAAAGGCCGACAACCCACCTCCCGTCGGAACTAGCTGCAATCCGTCCAGCGCCCTGCGATAAGGGATTGTTCCCTTCTGGCCATCTTGGGATCAGAATTGAACATCTCCGGAGCAAAGGCCGGTCTTGAATATCGATCTCAACGAGCGACATTGACACCAAGAAACCCCCACTTAATCACCCGACAGCTTCGGCACAAGGAGACGACGGCGCAGGATGTATGCACGGAACAAACATAAAGATATAAGGCAAGAGATCGCGCTTCTTTCTTGGCTATTTACATTCTTCCTGCCTTGGTTGGACAGACGAGCAGACGGTGTTGTAAGAAATGCAAACTGGAAGATGACTCGTCGGTTTCGTAGAAGCTGTAAAGATCTTGGTCACGCTTCCCTGGTCGCTGCTGCAAGAACCTGAACGAGCCATCAATGCCTTCCATCAAAGTAGAAATCTTCGTATGACGAAGAAGGAAGTACCTTGTTTAGAGGCATTGACAGTCAGTAACCATGACTTCCATGGTGAAGGGGACAAGGCAAATAGGTAGGGAACCTTGGATATTTGGAAGTCGGCAGGCAATAGAGCCTCAAGAGCTCAGCAGCAGCCACAGTGTAGGCTAGGCTAGTGGGGTTCCAGTTCTTCACAGGCAGTAGGCACCCTATCATCCCAGCTGTATGTTTCCGCTAAGCTTAGCTCGGCCTGCTCCCCACAAGCGCCGGTCTTCGCACTCGACTCAGAAACATTTCACTGTTGGCTTAGGTTACAACATCATCATCCATCACCACCGAGAAAGACTAGCTTTTTCTCCCCAGCCGCTGTCAGTTCGGAGAGCTTGTCTGCGCCACAAAGCTCTGCTGACAACACACCCGAGTTCTCTGCAGAGAACCGTCCGACCTTTGGAGCGCTTCTCACCGATGCCTACCTCTGCAATTGAGGACTTCCATCTCCAACCTTTACCTTTACGACCCGACATACCCTGCTTAAGTACATCCACGGTCGGTCCCTCGAATGTCGCATCCCACCAGAGAACCCTGTTCCCGTACCGCACAGCAGGAAGCGGCCCAGGATGGATCGCCCAAGGAAGCGTGAACTCCGCGATTTAAACGACCGCGCTTGGGCCGGCGAGACTGACCTCTTCGAGGTGAACAAGTCTCTCGATTCGTCGCTCAAGAAGAACACTGCATTTATTCGCCGTCTCCGCACCGCAATCTCTCCGGCTACCCTCAACTCCTTCCTGCAAGAGATCAAGACCTTGAGCCTGCACAAGTACCTCTCGGAGATCAATTCCGCCTGCTATGAGGGGCTTTGCAAGCTCAAGACGCCCGCCGAGGTCGAGGCGGGAGTCGAGATCGTCAGCGCCCTCCACCAGCGGTTTGGGCCGGCCGAGTTCACCGAATACCTGGGATGGCTTCTCGGCAAGGGCATGGCTACACCGGACAAGAGTCTGTTGAAGACGCTGACTGCAGAGGCGCGAGAAAAGGAGGAGAAGGATCGCATTGTGAGGCAGCGCGTGTTGTTGCGAGTCGTCACAGAACTCTGGCTCGTGGGCATCTTGCGGACACTCGACGACATTCGCCGGCCCGATGATGCGACCAAAGGTGCCGCCGGCAAGGCGCCCGAGATCAAGCCTCGCAGTAACAGCTCATCCAAGGGCGGCGGGGCTGAACCGTTCCCCCTCGAGGTCCTAAAGGACCTGCTGGGCCATGACCGCGAACACACCAACCTGCCACTCCTCGTCACCTTTGTCAAGGCGTTCAGTTGGGACGTGCTGGGAGTGAAAACAGCGGGCTCCGATGGTCGGAAGACTGTCGAGGAGGATGGCGCAACTAAGGCCGCTGACGGGGCGGGCGAGCGAGAGGAGGGAGACGATGACGCCGCTCATCCGGGTGATCCGCCTTTCACACCCCCCGAACTGCAGGAGCGATTCAAGAATATTCTCAAGAGATATTTCGAGGACGTCAAAGGTCACCTCGTGCGTGACCAGAAAGCCATCTCTAGCCAGTCACGCCGCAATGCTGAGGCCTACGTCAAGTCCGGCGAGGTCTTTGAGGATCGGCAAGCCAACTTTGAGAAGCAGGTCAAGGCCCAGGAACGCCTGGTCTCAAACGCCCAGGTCATTGCAGATGCCGTCGGCGCCGAGATGCCCGATCTCAAGGACGGCGATGACCCTCTAGCCGCCACAAATGCATCTATCGGTCTCGTCAAAGCCGGCGACTATCTCCGAGGGCAAGGCGAGGCTGGCATCTGGGAAGATGAGGAGCAGCGTCGCTTCTACGAAAACCTGGTAGATCTCAAAGGAAAAGTTCCAGCTATTCTTTTGGAGGATGTCAAGAAGAAGAAGCCAGATACAGATGAGCAAGTTGGCAAGAAGATTGACCCAGCGGAGGCGGCGGAAGCTGCGAAGCCTGTTGATACCTCTGCTGACGACCAGTCCACGGCTATTGCCAACAAGACGATTGGTGCGCAGGTTGACGCCCTACTTCTTCGGCTCCCTGACTTGACAAACAAAGACGCCATTGACCAAACCGCCGTCGACTTTTGCTTCTTGAATTCCAAAGCCTCTCGCAACAGGCTCATCAAGGCCCTCACCGAGGTACCCAAGGGCCGTAGCGACCTGCTTCCTTGCTGGTCGCGCCTTGTTGCGACACTGGGTCAATACATGCCGGACATTCCCAAAGGACTGGTCGACTACCTTGATGCCGAGTTCCGCAGCCTCCAGCGGCGAAAGGAAAAGGACTTTCTTGGTCAGGTTCGGCTGAGCAACATTCGGTATCTTGCTGAGTTGACCAAATTTGGCATTGTACCCGAGCATGTCGTCTTTCATTGTCTCAAAGTCAGTCTCGATGACTTCTCTCGGATGAATATTGAAATCATCTGTAATCTGCTGGAGAATTGCGGTCGCTATCTGTTGCGAAGTCCCGAAACTGCCCCACGAATGCACTCTTTTCTCGAGACGTTGCAACGAAAGAAATCGGTTCAGCACATCGGCCAGGCCGAGCGCATGCTCATCGAGAATGCTGTCTACTACGTCGACCCTCCAGAGCGGCCCGCTATTCAGCAGAAGGAGCGGACTCCCATGGAGCTGTTCATTCGTAAACTTATTTACATTGATCTGACCAAACGCAATTACAGCAAGATCCTCAAACAGATCCGACGATTGCACTGGGAAGAGAAGGAGGTTGTCGGCATTCTCGAGAAGGCATTTTCGAAGCCGGGCAAAGTCAAGTACGGTAACATCCACTTGCTTTCGATCCTGCTGAGTGCCCTTTACCGCTACCATGCCGCCTTCGCCGTTCGAGTCATTGACAACGTCCTCGAGTCTGTCTGTCTTGGGCTTGAGCAAAACGACTTTAAGTTCAACCAGCGGAGGATTGCAGAGGTCAAATATCTTGGAGAGCTATACAACTATCGCATGTTGGAGCATCCCGTCATTTTTGACACCATGTACAAGATCATGACCTTTGGCCACGGAGGACCGCCAGTACCCGGGCGTGTGAACCCGTTCGACCTGCCGGACGACTTCTTCAGGATCCGTCTCATCGCAACCATGCTTGAGACTTGCGGCGTCTTCTTCAACAGGGGCGCGGCTGGCAAGAAATTGGATTACTTCCTCTCTTTCTTCCAGGTACGTCGTGTAGCACTAGTCGGCGGAGATGCGACCCAGGGAAACATTGCTGACCGGACGGTAGTACTACATCTTCACCAAGGATCCGCTTCCCATGGACATTGAATTCATCGTGCAGGATATTTTTGCCCTCACGAGACCTCAGTGGAAGCTAGCATCTAATTTCGAAGAGGCTGCCAAGGCATTTCATCTTGCTGTGGCCCAGGATCAAAAGTCCACGGGAGCAGACAAGGCGACTGACCAAGACGATGGCTCCGACTCTTCATCATCAGATGACGAGAACGCGGATGATCTTCCTGTGCCCGAGCCAGACTCTGATGAAGAGGAAGATGACGAGGAGGAGGAAGGCGAGGTGCGTCCAATCCCAATCCCAACTCATTGCTTGCATCCGAGCCACTAACGGGTCATTGATAGGATCTGGAACGGCATTTGCCATCTGGAGAAGCTGATTCAGAAGAGGAGGCCATCGTTGTTACTCGACAGGAAGAGGAAATCGACCCCGAGGACGAAGCAGACTTCGAGCGTGAGTATGCCAAAATGATGGCCGAGAGTCTAGAGTCGCGAAAATTTGAGAGAAAACCACTCTTCGACGTTGCCTTGCCCGTGAGGCCGAAAGCCCGTGAGGCGAGTACTGCAACCGAAACTGGAGAGGGCGAGCCCAGCGCTGCCACTGGAACCATGGCCTTCGCTCTCCTGACCAAACGTGGCAATCGACAACAGGTATGTCTGAATCCCGTGAACCTGCTCGTTCGGAATTCCCGCTAATAGTCCATGCAGACCAAAACTCTTGCACTGCCCTCGGACTCGCACTTCGCTGTGGCTCTTAAGAACCAACAGCAAGCCGAGCGAGAAGAGCAACAAAAGATCAAAAACCTCGTGCTGAATCTCGATCTCGGTGAAAACGAGGACCAGGATGGTGAACTTTCTCAACAAATCCTTACACCAAACCCAAATATTCACAACATTTCATCTACAGGCAACGAGAAACCCAACACGTACCATCACAACCGCTTCGACAAGCCTAGCAAGGACCGTGGACAACGAGTCCGCAAACTACAACTCAGCGACGTTGACTGGTATGATAGACACCCAGAGCAGACCCCCCCTCACCAGGCTTCCGAACAGCGATCGAGCTTGTCCCCGCCCTAGGGTGGCGGCCCTGACAGCTCTGATTCAGTTCCGGTCGACTTGAGGAGCCACAGCAAGTGCAGGAAATCTAGGCATGGGCGGGCTGAGGACACTCGGTCCCCAATGTCAACTTTCAAGCGTGGCTCCCGCAACACCTCGGCTTGAGACAGGGCTAACTGGTTTCGCCTTTGATGTGTCTCACAGGACTTGATGACTTTCCGACAACTCACACCTACAGATTCTGCCAACAAACCATGCGTCCGCTAACCCGCCTCTTCTGAGAGGCTCGTTGGGCTACACTTGCCACGACTGCGTCAAGGCAGCGGCACACGTGGTGCATTACCGAGCGACTCACTCATGTCGAATTGCGCGACAGACGGGCAGTCAACCGCGAACTCCGGCTTTAACCTAGCATCCGAGCGATCTGTGGTAAAAAGCCTGCCTTTGGGTCGCAGGACTGGCCAAATGGCTTTCGCCGTCGGATCTCTGGCGATCAAGCGCAGGCCATCCACACTGTTCTTACGCGGAGCAGCTCAGGTACTCCTCCAGTGACTTACATGCGTCTTCTATCCATGGTAGCGCAGAGGCGGACATGTATCAAGCAGTCTCTACCTGTTCATTCAGACCAACCAAGCGACGAGAGTTGGGGGGTAGTGGTACATGCTTACTGCCTTTACCTGAGGCAGGCATATGTTACCTATCAGGTGCAGGTATTCTATGTACCAACAAGTATGCTAGTAAAAAGACAGACTGGGTTGCCGACGAGACAAACTACCTCTAACAGTAGCCATGAAGATTGATTCTCGAGACTTCTTCCTCTTGAAATAGTCGGTGATTGTCAAGTGAACAAGAGTCCTTGTGACTGCCTGCTACCCGCTATTTGGGAGCCGCATCGATATTACACACCGTTTACGATGTCGTGACTGGACAATTATCAGCCTTGCCCCACGAAACAGACATACACCCCTTTCTCGGGAATTTTGCCCTGTCGAGCTGGATATTTGCCGGCAGAAAACGTAGCCTCTTGGCTCCTTAGATGCCGTTTTTGCGTACGCGTCCTTCTCCTTATCTCGTTGCAACGGGACCAAGCTGGCTTATTACGCTCATTCAGCTGTAGTGCCGATTCGATACAGGTAAAATTTGGCGAGTGCCGTTTTCCGGGGTTGCGGCTGTCGATGAAGCCCGTCGTGACATGGCCCTCCTGGGTGGAAAACTCTGTCTTGATCTGCATCACACGCTTGCAGGCCAAAATCATCTGTTGTCTAATTGGTGCGGCAAGAATGACTCTCGTTGTCTATGACATTCGAGAAGCTCAAAATGTTTCTCAGCATGTAGGTGCGGCGTGAGAGTTCTGAGACCTGTACGACCCGTCGAGTGTCGCCTGCTCACGATGCCCGCTCAAGATGGGATTTCCCTGACTTGTGCAATGATTAAGTAGATATCCCATACATAGTCTTTTTTTTTCCTTTTCTTGTTGCCTCCTTCACCACGATCGACTGTGCCTTGACCTTCCGTCGCTGCTTGATGCCGTCATCTCGAGAGGGAAAAACTCGCATGGTGAATTCAGCCTGATCACGAAAGTGCCTGCCCTGGGGCACGCCACTTGTTCTCTATATTGATCAGACGGGAAGATATAGTATTGTCGGTCGCTTATGTAGCCCACGTCTCCCTCGTCGGATTCGAGCGCTTGGGGTGGCCCTTCGTCTGGGCGCCGCTGCGTTCTAGAAACCCTGGCGGATCACCTCGACTGCATAGCTTATTCCGGGTTCGAGGCGGTCGCTGAGGGACACTCTGATGCCAATACACTCTTTTATTCTTCTTCTTTTGACACCGAGAAGACCTGCCAGGTTGGTGACTTTGCTCGTCGCTTCATTCACTTGACGCGTGTCCTGGGAGCCGTGATCTGGATCTCGACTCACCGACTCCCTGGGCGTGGTCTGGCCACTGGTGAAGGTCTCTCGATGCGACACTACGAGGTACTTTCGACTACTACCCTACGAAGAGAGATAGAAAAAAAATAAGCTTGAACGGAGAGCTTGCGTAATCGTCGAAGCTTCCTGTGTGTCGCAATTCCACCTTGTGCTGCAGGTAGCCGTCGGGCCCCTTGCTCATCTTCCCAACAAACCCTCCCTGGGAAAACTAGGGCGTCGCCAGACATAGATCATTCTGGACGGATGGCTGCATGATAAGGCGCCTCATCTCTCCTCCCCCTTTACCTCTCCGGCAGCCGGCCCTGGGAGTCTTCTCTTCTTCTTCCGAATCGCGGGAGTGGCTGTGTGTGAGCCTCTTTTCGACTGGTCGGGATTTCGAACGGCAACCACCTTTTCTTCAAGATGACGGAGATTGGCGAAACATGGCCGGTCAACGAGGTAAGTGGTGTACAAGGCGATCCTCCCCCTGCCATGTACCACTATGTACAAGTCACAGGGCTAAGTGAGACACTCCCAGATCATCTTCACAGCCATCGTGGGAGTGGTGATGGTGGCAGCATTTCTCGAGTGGTTCCTGTGGCTGGCTGCGTTCTTGTATTGCCTATGGAAGGTCTTTATCAAAGCTGAGCATTGGACGGTCAACGTCTTGGCAGTGGTCATCGCTGTCGCGTTCACGTTGTTGAGGTATGGGAAACACCGTCTGGTCTTTTTTCGGCCGGTTCGTCTGTGGACTAATGGATTCTCCCTGTAGGTTCATCTTCCTGCCGATCATGATCGTGACCTTGCCCCTGCCGAGCCAGATCGTCAAGCTGTGGCCGCCGACAATGGTCAGCTTCCTCCAGTGGTTTGCCTTCTGGAGCTTCGCCGGCCTCCTCACCGTGCCGTGGCTGTTCTGCATCTACCAGATCGTCACGCACCAGCTGGGGAGGACCAAGAGGATCAAGCAGGTGCTGGACGAGGTGTCGGCGCCCAAGGTCGTCATCGTCATGCCCTGCTACAAGGAGGAGCCCGAGGTGCTCATCACGGCCGTCAACTCCGTCGTCGACTGCGACTACCCGCCTTCCTGCATCCACGTGTTCCTCTCGTTCGACGGCGACCAGGAAGACGAGCTCTACCTCAACACCATCGAGAAGCTCGGCGTGCCGCTCACCCTCGAGTCGTACCCCAAGAGCATCGACATCTCCTACAAAGCTGCGCGGATCACCGTCTCCCGTTTCCCCCACGGCGGCAAGCGCAACTGTCAAAAGTCTACATTCAAGCTCATCGACAAGGTCTACCAGCAGTACCTCAAGAGGAACGACAACCTGTTCATACTGTTCATCGACTCGGACTGCATCCTGGACCGTGTCTGCCTCCAAAACTTTGTCTACGACATGGAGCTCAGCCCCGGCAACAGGCGGGACATGCTGGCGATGACGGGGGTCATCACGTCGACGACGAAGAAGCACAGCCTCATCACGCTGCTGCAGGACATGGAGTACATCCACGGGCAGCTGTTCGAGCGGACGGTGGAATCGGGGTGCGGCTCCGTCACCTGCCTCCCCGGGGCGTTGACGATGCTGCGCTTCTCGGCGTTCAGGCGGATGGCCAAGTACTACTTCGCCGACAAGGCGGAGCAGTGCGAGGACCTGTTCGACTTTGCCAAGTCGCACCTCGGGGAGGACAGGTGGCTGACGCACCTGTTCATGATCGGGGCCAAGAAGCGGTACCAGATCCAGATGTGCACGTCGGCGTTTTGCAAGACGGAGGCGGTGCAGACGATGCGGTCGCTGATCAAGCAGCGGCGCCGGTGGTTCCTGGGCTTCATCACCAACGAGGTGTGCATGCTGACGGACTGGCGGCTCTGGAAGCGGTACCCGATCCTGGTGCTGGTGCGCTTCATGCAGAACACCATCCGGACGACGGCGCTGCTCTTCTTCGTCATGGTGCTCGCGCTCATCACGACGACCAAGAAGGTGGCGGACCTGCCCGTCGGGTTCATCGCCGTGTCGCTGGGCCTCAACTGGCTCATGATGTTCTACTTTGGCGCCAAGCTCAAGAGGTTCAAGTCGTGGCTGTACCCGATCATGTTCATCATCAACCCCTTCTTCAACTGGTACTACATGGTCTACGGCATCTTCACGGCGGGCCAGAGGACGTGGGGAGGGCCCAGGGCGGACGCGGCTGCTGCCAGCGGAGACACCACGGCGCAGGAGGCCATTGAGGAGGCTGAGAAGGCCGGCGATGACCTGAATATCGTCCCCGAGTCCTTCATCCCCGCGGCCGAGATACAGCGGCGCAAGAGCGGCAAGGGCGGCGGCGCCGGGGTCAGCCGCGCAAAGAGCGTCCTGCAGCCTCCGGACAAGGTGGACGGCCTGTTCGCGGCTCCCGAGAGGAGCGCGTCGGGCTGGTACCAGCACCCCGACGCGTCCATGATCAGCCTCGGCGTCCTGCAGCAGGGGGGCGGCTCGTCGTCGCAGCACTACTACGACGGCGGCGGCGGCGGCGGCGGGAAGCGCGTGCCGCTGCACCCGCGCGAGTCCTTCGAGAGCTTCGTCTCGGCGGGCGGCTCGGTGTACATGCCGCGGCGGGTGGAGAGCCTCATGAGCGACGAGGACCGGCGCAAGTACGAGATGGCGCAGGCGAGCCAGCTCAACTTCTCCGCCGCCGCGAGGCAGCAGCAGCAGCAGCAGCAGCAGCTGGTGCTGCAGGGCCCGCCGACGGGCCAGGTCTACGAGTACCACTCGGACGCGGAGCTGCAGCGGGCGGGCTTCACGGACGCGGTCGAGGCGACGCCGGCCGTGTCCGCTACCGCCGCCGCCGCCGCGGCGGGCTACGCGGAGCATCACCACCAGCAGCAGCACCGGAGACTGCCGAGTGAAGGGAGCGTGCCGTCGAGGTCGTCGTCCGGGGCGGGAGCGGTGGTAGTGTCTCCCGGAGAGGGGCGGCGGGGAGGTATGCGGCAGCAGCAGCAGCCGACCGTGCCCGGTAACGCGCGGAGTAGTCGCAGCGGGCGCAGCCCACTTGGGCGGGCGAGTTTCATCCGGACGTCGACGATGGACGAGGTCGAGCAGGAGATTCAGGGGTCACACGCTGGTCCGTCGGAGAGGAGATCCGCAACGCCGCCGCCGCCGCCGTCCAGGAGAGGGGCTGAGAGGCGCAAGGGAGGCAAACAGGAATGATATTCAAGTAGCTACATGATTGACGAAGAAGAAGGAGGAGGAAGGGCGGCCGTTTGCGAGAACGGTGGATGAGGTGGCAACGACATAGAGAGGGGAAGGCGTTGGTGTTGTTTTTGGGTGCTGACGACACATGTCTAGAAGGAAAGCCAGCCACTCCTTTCTGCTGAGAATGGCAGAGTTCTACCTACTAAGTCTTGTGTATATTCAGTAGACAATCCATGCCTTGGAATATCTGTGTGTGACACCTCCAAGTGGTGATGTGATGATCGTGCGGTACCTGAATATCAGTGGACGCGAGCCCGGTCAAGCCGGCTCTAGGGCAACGGTCACCACATAACAAGTACTCCGTACAAGTTACAAGTACAATGTCCTCACGGCTTGGGCGGTGAGAGAAGCCAAGACGTGCCCTTGAGGTTCGAGGTGGGGTGATAGGTTCCCGCCAGGCGTGCGCAATCCAAGGCAAATTGAGGCAATCCAAGGCACCGGTGGATCCTCGACCAGCTGTCCAAGAGCCTAGTTACGCGATAGGAACATGGAAAAGGCATTACGATTACATACTCGACCTGCAGTTCCTGCGAGAAATGGCCTCTGGCAGCTCTCTGGGGGTCCACAGAAGGGCCTTCGAGCCTGCTTGGCAGTTGTCTGGTTGTCTGGGCGCGCCATCCCGAGGGAGCCCACTGGGAAAGCCTGACGAAAGAGAAAAGGCTTCAAGGTTCTTCCACTCGTCAGTTCAGTTTCAGTGGTTATTTTGGCGGCTGGTGGTTGGTGGCTTTTGGTGATGTCGCGTCGCCATAGGTTGATTGTGCTGGGGCGGGCCTCCATCTCTCGAACTTTCTCCAACGTTCTGTTGCTGTCCTTGACGTTCGCAGTGGAGATGGACGCCAGTCAAAGCCACACGCCCCCCCTGGCAGCCCCCAAAATGCCCCAAAATGCCCCAAAATGCCCCAAGAATGCCCCAAATGGAGCCCTCTGGAGGGGTGTCGCCCTAGTTAATTGTACCCAAGGATCAGAGCTAGGGACCCGACCAAGGCCAACTCTTATTCATGTCTTTTTCGCGGCTGCTCTTGTCAACTGGGAAAGCTAAAACATCACACTAAAGACCAAAAAAGTGAGAGAAAGCACTGCGCCTCTGGAGTACCCTGCCCGCTGAATCGCGTGCAAGAGTACTTTGTCCTCGGTGCCTAGCGTCGTCGGGCAACCTTCTCGACTTTTTTTTTTTCCCACTGCACTTTGCGGACCACCAAAGGGAAAAAAAATACGCTACCACGTTTTTTCCCATTTAAAAAAACCTCCCCCCACTACAATCTCATATCACCACAAAGCGACCAGTCCCAAGACTTGAACGTGCTCAGTTCATCTTGTTCTGTGAATTGTCACTTTCTCTCTTAACCGACTGAAACCCTTTTCTCTCTCCCCCTTTCCCTTTCCCTTTTACCTCCATCGCCCCCGAAGCTTTGGTACTATCGTGTAAGCAGTTGCACCCATCGCAGCCTTATCCGGACATCCTCGAGGACATCCTTGTTTACAAACCCAACCATCCAGCTACCCCTCCACAACCGCAAAGATGAGCGTCGTGGGTAAGTTCAACTCTTCCCTCCCTCCCCAACCTGACCGACTTCTGCAGTGTGCGCGCGCTGTCTGTGATTCAGTTGGCTGACTCCCCTTCCTCCTTCAGGTGTCGATTTCGGAACCCTCAACACGGTCGTTGCCGTTGCGAGAAATCGTGGTGTCGATGTTGTATGTGCCCCTCCGCACACCTGCTCTCTGAATAACCTCAGTCGATGACGACAAGGAAGATGACAGTATGCTGACTTGGTTCCCTCTTCTAGATCACAAATGAGGTTTCCAACCGAGCAACACCGTAAGTCACAACTACCGACCCTTTCCTGCCCTTCCCTCTGGCCGGGACCAATGACATCTGACATTCGCGATTTACAGTTCCCTCGTTGGCTTTGGGCCCAAGTGCCGCTACCTCGGCGAGGCCGCAAAGACCCAGGAAATCTCCAACCTCAAGAACACCGTCAGCTCCCTGAAGCGACTCGCCGGCCGATCGTTCAAGGACCCCGATGTCCAGATTGAGCAGCAGTTCGTCTCTGCCCCCCTCGTCGACATCAACGGCCAGGTCGGTGCCGAGGTCTCGTACCTTGGCAAGAAGGAGAGGTTTACCGCCACTCAGCTGGTTGCCATGCTGCTGAGCAAGATCAAGCAGACCACCGCCAACGAGATCAAGCTCCCTGTCTCGGACATCGTCATGAGCGTCCCCGCCTGGTACACCGATGTCCAGCGCCGCGCTCTCATCGATGCCGCCGAGATCGCCGGTCTGAAGCTTCTCCGCCTCATCAACGACACCACTGCCGCCGCCCTCGGCTACGGTATCACCAAGCTCGACCTCCCTGCCGCCGACGAGAAGCCCCGTCGCGTTGCCTTTGTCGACATTGGCCACAGCGACTATGCCTGCAGCATTGTCGAGTACAAGAAGGGCGAGCTCGCCATCAAGGGCACTGCCTGCGACCGTCATTTCGGCGGCCGCAACTTCGACAAGGCCATCGTCGACCATCTCCAGAAGGAGTTCATCGGCAAGTACAAGATTGACATCTCGACCAACCCCAAGGCCATGACTCGAGTCGCCGCCGCTACCGAGAAGCTCAAGAAGATCCTGTCTGCCAACCAGCAGGCCCCCCTCAACATCGAGTCTCTGATGAACGACATCGATGTCCGCGCCATGATCACCAGGCAAGAATTCGAGGCCATGGTTGAGCCTCTGCTGAGCCGCGTCCACATTCCTCTGGAGCAGGCTCTCGCCGATGCCAAGCTCACCAAGGATGATATCGATGTCGTCGAGATCGTCGGTGGTGGCTCCCGTGTCCCCGCCATCAAGGATCGCGTCCAGGCCTTCTTCGGCAAGCCCCTGTCCTTCACCCTGAACCAGGACGAGGCCGTCGCTCGTGGCTGCGCCTTCAGCTGTGCCATTCTGTCTCCCGTCTTCAAGGTCAGGGACTTTGCTGTCCAGGACATCATCAGCTACCCCATCGAGTTCGCGTGGGAGAAGGCCCCCGATATTCCGGACGAGGACACCAGCCTCGTTGTCTTTAACAAGGGCAACATCATGCCCTCCACCAAGATCCTCACCTTCTACCGGAAACAGCCTTTCGACCTCGAGGCCCGCTACTGCAAGCCCGAGGACCTTCCCGGCAAGACCAACCCCTGGATCGGTCGCTTCTCTGTCAAGGGTGTTAAGCCCACCGCGGCACAGGACGACTTCATGATCTGCAAGCTCAAGGCCCGTGTTAACATCCACGGCGTCCTGAATGTGGAGAGCGGCTACTACGTCGAGGACCAGGAGGTCGAGGAGGAGATCAAGGACGACGAGGAGAAGAAGGACGGTGATGTGAGTGTATACAAATCCCCTTTTGTCGAGTCTTCACCGTCGATCGAACATTTCGAGTCGTCTTCCATTCCTGCGAAACGTCCACGGCTTGACCCACAGCCCTCTGGAGAAGCGTCGCGCTTTCATTTCTATGACGTCCCCGATGAGAACTCGAGACTAACTACTATCAAGGCCATGGACACCGACAACAAGGACGAGAAGCCCAAGACCCGCAAGGTTAAGAAGCAAGTACGGAAGGGTGAGCTGCCCATCTCGGCTGGTCACACCGGCCTGGATGTGGATGCCAAGAACAGCCTCACTGAGAAGGAGGCTTCCATGGTTATGGAGGACAAGCTCGTGGCCGACACCGAGGAGAAGAAGAACGAGCTCGAGACCTACATCTACGAGCTGCGAAACAAGCTCGACGACCAGTACGCCGAATTTGCCAGCGACGAGGAGAAGGCTAAGATCCGCTCAAAGCTCGACGCCAGCGAGGTAAGCATCTGCCAACCCTTGAAAACAAAACCCCCTTCGACGCTTGTGTCCACCACGCCTTTACTAACACGCTGCTTGACAGGACTGGCTTTACGATGAGGGTGATGACGCCACCAAGGCTATCTATATCGCCAAGATGGAAGAGCTCCGGGCTCTGGCAGGCCCGGTCGTCCAGCGCCACTTCGAGAAGGTCGAGGCCGAGCGCCAGGCTCTGCAGGCCAAGCTCGAGCAGGAGGCTGCGGCCAAGCGGGCTCAAGAGGAGGCCGCTCGCAAGGCCGCCGAGTCCGACAAGGCTGCTCAGGGAGAGAACGCCAAGGACGAGGAGATGACGGACGCTGACGCCCCGCAGCAGCCCAAGGTCGAGGAGGCCGATTAGACCTAATAGATGGATCACGGAGTCTTGTTGGGAAGGAGGGTTCACAGCACTTTAGAGACAGACATGCATGAAACGTACGTACGTATTTTTGAGCATCCGAAACGGAAAAAGAATCATTGGAACTTCGTTTTTTTTTCTTTCTTCTTATTTGTTGGTTCGAGAAGGCTACCGGGAACCACAGACCGACCGTCCGTCTCTCTTGACATATCCATATATCACCGTTCATCTCTCCCCGGGCTTCCTCGCGCGGCACGATGTCTCTTCCTCCTCTTATTTCTTTCTGTTGTCAGGTAAAAGTCTCTCTTCTTGGAGGGTGGAAAAGCTTTTGTGATGACAGGGCGCGGGTAAGCATATTGACAGCCGGGGGGGGGTTACACATCAATATTGGTTACTAGGTCTATGCCGATTCAAGTAGATAGAAATTAATTCTTTGCAGAATTCTCTACTCTACCCTGGCACTTTGCCCATCTTGATGGCTTCTGCAGATAGTTACATCCTCCCCCCCCCTTGGTATTCTTCACTTCACGAGGATGACTTTTGGTGATGAGATGAGAATTACGATTGCATTTCTTTTTCTTTCTTGAACCCACGACCAGAATCCCTCATGATACATACAATGCGATATATAATCAATCGCTACGTGGGACCTCTAGGGAATCGAGATCATCAACGTTCCATGCCTGATTTGTCCGAAACTCTTGACGATGTAGACTCCCCCCCCCCTCTTCCCCCTTTGCTTCGTGTAGCTGTAGAAGCATATGCTAGGCCCATCCTATTTCTTCTTTTGTATTCCTGCAGGAAAAGGAGAGAGGAAAAAAAACACTTTTTACCAACTCGATTGACTTAGCTGGCCCAACAAACCAAACAAATGGCACAAGAGGGAGGGACCTTTTAATGAATGTCAAACAGCGGCTTGAGCTTGATGATGAGCTGCCACTCGTCGTTGGAGACCTCCTTGCGGTAGAACTCCTTGAGGCAGTTGATGCTGGCGCGCGAGATGAGCGAGTAGAGCGCGTCCGACTCCTCGAGCTGGCGGCCGTAGGTGGGCTGGTGGCCGCCCATCTCGATCTTGACGGCCACCGAGGGCTGGCCCTTCTTGCACACGGGGATCTGCTTGTGGTCGCGCTCGATCGAGGTGCTAAAGAAGAAGAAGAAGAAGCACAAGTCAGTAAATGAACACGCTGACTTGTATAGTCAAATAGGGGGGAGGGGGGAGTAGTGGAAAAAATATCAAGACTCACACTCTGCCGAGACTGATAACCTCCTTGACGCCGGTGACGGGATTCGTCTTGATGGCGGCAATAGGCGTGTTGATCTTGAGCTGACCCTCGACGACATCGACACCAATGACGATGGGGCCCGTCTTGTTGAAGACAGCAACGGTGTTGAGCACGCAGGGGAAAACGGCCAGCATCTTGGACTCCTCCTTCTTCTTCTCGAGCAGCTCGTCCATGTGCTTGGTGAAGGCATCAAACAGGTGATAAATAATATCGGCCGTAAAGATCTTGATGCCCTGCTCCTCGGCGTACGCCTGCGCCTCCTTGTCGACCTTGACGTCGAAACAGAGCATGACGGCGTGGTCGGGGCTCTTCTCCAACATGATGCCGCACTGCATGACATCGCGCTTGTAGACCGGGCCGATACCAACGTTGGCGACCGGAATCTTGCAGTCCTTGAGGAAGTCGAGCAAGGCCTCGAGCGAACCAAGGGTGGAAGCCTGGACACTGACACCACGGCCGGATCGCTCGACACGGCTGAACAGGGTGGCGAGATCAGACTCGACCTCGTCCTCGAGATCCGACTCATCATCATCCGGTCCGACAACCAACAGTCTGGAACCAGCAATGGCACCTTCGAGACCAGGAGCGCTGATCTTGACACCCAATGCAGCCTTCACCTCCTTGTTGTGAACATAGGCTGACTTCAACCGCAGTTCTCTCAGAGGCGCAGGTGTGAGCAGTGCTCTAATGTTGGTCGTAATGGCCCCCTCTGTACCGCACAGCACGATACGGTCTCCTTCTCGGAGGATACCGTTGGACAGGATGACATCAATGGTCATACCAAAGCCTTCAATGGCCTTGACCTCGAGAATGGTAGCCTGGACCTCGGAGAGGTACATGAGAGAGCCAACCATCCTCTCCTGAGTGAGCTGGATAATGAGCTTCAGCATATCCGGGATACCCTCACCAGTGTGAGCAGAGGTGGGCACGAGGGACACGTTGCGGGCCATGGACTTGTTCTCGTAGAAGAGCTCGGAGTTGAAACCCTGCTCGGCAAAGGCGAGCTTGGTCTGCTCGAGTCGGTTCCTGAACTCGTTCTGGACCCCCTTGCTCTGCAGAGCCAAACTCTCCTGGAAGCCATTGTTGTCGACCTTCTTCCAGCCATAAAGACGATCAATCTTGTTGAGGGCGACAATGAAAGGCGTTTTCCTATCTCTCAGCATACGCATAGACTCAAGAGTCTGAGGCTCCAGACCGTGCATGATATCGACGACGAGAATGGCGATGTTGCAAAGGGAAGATCCACGCGACCGCAGGTTGGAGAAGGACTCGTGACCAGGCGTATCAATGACGAGCAGACCGGGGACCTTGAACTCAAAAGAACCGTCTCGGTTGACGACGGCCGTCTTCTGCTTGATGGCATCGACTGGGAAGTAAGTAGCACCGATCTGCTGCGTGATGCCACCAGCTTCGCCTCCCTGGACGTCGGTCTGACGAATCTTGTCGAGAAGCTTGGTTTTACCGGTATCGACGTGACCAAGAATACAGCAGATAGGAGAGCGGAGGTTGTCCTTTGATCTGGCTGCGAGTGCTGCTTGGTGAGCCTTCTCGCGCCTCTCTGCTGCCTCCTTTTTCCTCTGAGCCTCAGCAGCCTTGGCAGCAGTCGCTTCCTCGTCGTCGGACGACTCCTCTTCTGACTCTGACTCTGAATCCCCAGCCGATGCCTTGGGCCGAGATGGCAAAGACTTGCCGTTAGCGGCGGCATCCTTCGCCCCCTCTTTCTTGGCTGCCTCCTCGTCGGAGTCGGCGTCCCAGCTGTCCTTGACGTCGTCATCGGAAGCTGCTGCGGCTTCCCAGTCCTCGTCGACCTCGTCTTCGTCTCCGGCGGCCTTGGCCTTTGCGGCAGCCTCCTTCTCGGCTTGCTCCCGTGCCGCACGCTCCTTCTCTTCAGCTTCCTTGGCCGCAGCTTCGGCCTGCTGGCGAGCCCGCTCGGCGGCTTCTGCGAGTGCCTTCTCTTCCTCCAGCTGAGAATTAAAACGTTAGATTTGATCGACCGCCAGCAAAACCAAGAAAAGAGGTTTATATCTTACCTCCTTGGCCTTGCGACCGCCACTACGCTTCTTGTTGTCGTAGGTGACCTTCTTCTTCTGCTCGCCCTCGCCCTCGAGGGCACCGATCTTGACACCAGCTGCAATCATCTGCTGCAGCTTCTGCTCGTTGCGAGCCTTCTCGGCCTTCTGTGCTTTTGTCATGAACTTGCCCTCCTTCTTGAGCTGCTCGATCTTCTCCTTCTCCTTTTGCTTCTTGGCGGCCTTGGCCTCCTCTCGCTTTCTGGCCTCCTCGGCCTCCATGCGCTCGAGTTCCTCGAGCTTGGCCTTCTCCTCCTCCTTGAGGCGCGACTCTTCTTCCATGCGCCGCCGCAGCTCCTCCTGTTGCTTCTGAATGGCCGCAAGGTGTGGCGGGAGCTTCTTCTTCTTGCCACCGGCGGCGGCGGCGGCGGCAGGAGCAGCGGCCGGCTCCGGGGCCTCCTCCACCTTCTTCTCAGGTGCCGCGGCCTTCACTGGCTCTGGCTTGACCGGCCCAGTGGCCTTTTTCTTGGCAGCCTGTCGGGGGGAGGGGAGGTCGCATCAGTACACATGTCCAACTCGATATACACCACTATGCCACGGGTATATATCTTACCTGCTCCTTCTTGCGCTGCTTCTCCCGCTCCTTCTTGAGCTTCTCTTTCTCGGCCTTGGTCAACATCCGACCGCCCTCGCCTTCTTCGTCGTCGTCAGCGGCCTTGGCTGCCTGCTGCTGCTTGCCTCCCTTGCCCCCCTTGCCCTTCTTCTCGGGCAGGGCGAACTCATCGTCCATGGTGGCCTCGGCGGGGGCCTTGGAGGTCAGGTCCTCGGCGGGCGGGGCGTCGACACCGGGCGGGTTCTCGCCGTCGACAAAGTCCTCAGACAGGCCCTTCTTCTTGCGCTTCTCCTTGTTCTTGCGCATGAGGCCCATGAGGCCGCCGGTGGGCGCCTCATCCTCCTGCTCGCCTGCAGCAGCGTCGGCGCCGTCTGCAGCGGGCGGGGCGATGCTCTCGCCCAGCTCGGCCTCCCAGTCATCGTTGCCCTTCTTGTTTCCCTTCTTCTTGGGCGCCATCTTGCCTGGTCAAGTCGAGACTCTGGAGCGTCGGCTTGCTCTTGGAGGTGATGGATTGCGTGAAGAACTGGGAAATTTTTGAAAATCCCCCGTCGATCGATTTGCACCTGGCGGGATGGAAAAAGATGGTGGAGGGGAGGAGAAAGTGCAGACGGCCTACTAGGGTAGTGTGGCACTGTGGGTGGCGGGTCCGATGTGCATTCACATCGGCAGGAGCAGAACAGGAATTAGTGGACTAGCAGTGACTGCTAGGGTTTATGGGTCCTCTAAGAAAGCAGTTCTTAGTGGGCAAGAACACCAGAATGGAGACCTGCAAAGCGCGGGGCAGTGCGGCAATGGCAAGTCTGGACAAACCGGAGAATAGGTAGGACAGGACACCTGACACTCATCAGTTCATTTAATTGTAGCTAGGATGAGACAAGACACCCATCAATCAGCGGCGCACACTCGAGGGAGCACTTGGGAGGCTTGATATTTCAGGTACAGTACTGGGCGTCTTTCAACCGCACAATTGGAGAGTGCTTGAAGTCCCTTGAGAAAAGGGAGTTTCAAATCATACGCAGAAATTTTCAATCAATGGTCTCCGACATGCAAATATATCATAAGTGGAGCGTTACTGCATTCTTCTAAAAGCACAGTCAATAAGATATGGTGCTTTGTTCCTGTATGCTCTGCCAATCCTCTCTTCCTTTTTTTCCTTTTCTTTTTCTTTTCGCCATTCACAATTTTTTTTAGTGAAAACAGACCAGCGTTATCGATAACGATAAGGCCTGAAAGCTGCATTACGTAGGGCGGGGTCGAACCAAGTACGTCCATGGAGAGATGAGTCCTTCCTGTAGCTCTAATACCTCCTGAATGAGACTGTCTATCAACAAGCTCTAGACCACTCTCCTGCTCTGTATTAAACTGCCAACCCCCTCAGATTACAGGGGCCAGGTAGTACTCTAATATATCATAGACAAGTGCGAAATAGCGCGCCATCGTGCTGCGGTCCAATGCCACCATCTCTCGCGGCCCCTCATCGGATCCACGGCTGTCATCGGCCCTGAAATCCATCGTCCAACGACCACCATCTAGGTTGTTGAGAAGGCGAACCAGCTGTGCTGCATGGACCCGCCGAGCAAAGAGCCGCTCGACGGCTCGCAACTCGAAGCATCTCTGGAGCATGTCCCCATCGATATGCATGTTGAACCCGTTGTCCAGTACCGGACTCGCGTCCCAGTCCGGATCACCCGGGGGCTCGTACTGGAATGGGTAGAGCAGTTCAGAAGTCTGCGCCAGGTTCTGTATAAGACCCAAGACTGCCCATGCCTCTGCATTCAGGAGCGCGAAATGGTAGAGCGATCCATCCATACACACGCCCAGGATATCTGCACCATCCACGGTGCTGGGCACGTGTCCGTACTTCAACTGCCGGCGGCCTTGTTGCCAGCTCGGCCTGGTCTTCCCTCTCTGAAATTTCCTGATGGATGCTGGTAAATCGGCTTCAAAGAGCACCTCGCAGTTCCTCCCGGGCTGTTGCCACGGTACCCAGAGACCAACGACACCACATGATCGGTCACTAACGAGCAGAATCGAAGTCTCCGGATCTTCGCTGCCAGAGAAGGCCTCGATGCAATGCGCTGACGGCCTAGAAACAATGTCCACATGGGCCAGCACCATCTGGTCCGCCTCGCTGTCAATAGCTGGGTCGATGATCTGGACTGAGGCCTTATCCGTCAGGGCTATAATCTTGCCATCTGAAAATGTTAGAGAAGTAGCTGGAGAGCTCAGCTCAAATGTCTTCATTGGCTTCAACTTCTTCTCACTGAGGTCCAGGATGTCCCAGTGGAGGGTGGTGCCGACGCAGTAGAACAAGTTCTCCGCGTCCCCGATTATGGAATGAATCGACTCTGATTCTGATCGCTTGTAACGTGTCCAGAAACGTATTTTCCCCTTCGGCTCGTCTGGTGAGGATTCGATCCTTTCCATTGAGACAACAATTAGTCGGGCATCTTTTGTCGAGACGAGAACAAAGCGCCACACTTTATCGTCCTTGGTGTACTCCCACTCAGATAGCCCCTCAATCTTGTCGCCCTCGCCTAAACCGGCAATAAACTTCACGCCGACCTTCTCCTTGTCCGATGGCAAGGAGAGGTCCTCTCCACTCGTGGTGTCAATGAACTTCAGTACAGGGCGATTGCCTGTTTGCACCGCGACCACCAAACAGTCGAGCGAGTGGAGATAGAGTAGTTTGCTGGGTGTGCCACCCACCAAGATGCTGCGCGGTACTGACTGTGGCTGGGTCGCCAAGCCTGTGAGCAGAATGCGAGATCCTGAGACCAGAAGTAAGGAAGTATCACCTCCATGGCCTGGCAGCCCTTGCCTCAATACCGAGGCCGAGTCCACTGCAGGCGAAGGCTTCTGCGCATCACTACCATCGACAGGCCACACCCAATGCTTGATTTGGGACTGGCCGTTCTTGAGGTTACCTTCGCCCAACGAAACAAGCTGAACGATCTGGCTGTCGCAGCAAATAAACGCTGATTTGTTCCCATTGGCAATGCACTGCGCAGCCGTTTGCCCAAACTTCTCTGATGTTAGAGATCGAAGACCGTCCTGTTGATTGAGAACTAGAGTGAGCACCTCGCCACTATTAGTGCCGACGAGCACAGTGCATTGCCCAGAGGGATCTGTCAAACAAACAATGCTTCTGGGCGCTTCAGGAGCCTCTTGGTTTGGCTGGAGCGGCGAGGTCGAGCTTCCCGCTCCAGGACTCCCCACCTTCCCTATGATGAGGTCAGCATCTCCGTTCTTCAACTTCAACGAGTTCACGTACGTCGAGAGAGGTCAAGTATGAGAAGTTTCTCGACCTGTCGAACTGGGAAAATGAAGAGTTTTGGTTGAAAATCCTCCCATAGCCCGGCGAAAACACACACTTCACCGTCGACTGGCCCAAGAGCGAGACAAGTGACATCAGAAGGCGAATCGACGGCCTTCACAACACGTATTTCTAGGTCCTCAGCAATCTGCAAGATGTGTATCTGAGATTTCGAGTCCTTGTAGGTTGCCAAGGCGATGAACCTGTCGTATGCTGCAGCATACATGATTGCTGTGAAGGTGTCTCCCAGGAGTTCAATATGCGTGCAACGGATGCTGAGAGTGAATTAGTATTGCATTCTCCAACTTGTAGGGAAAAGGTTACTGAAGGCCGTACCACTGCGATGCAGTCGAGATGACGACGTAGTTCTCTGTGACTTGCAAGGCCATAGTATCAGAAAGTTGAGTCGCAACGATGGTCCTGGCTGACAGATCGTAAGGGAGGCTGTGGGGATCCGTTTCTGCAATCTCATTGTAGTCATCAGACAGATGGAGTACAGTGGAACGGTCGGGCATTGATAGTAATATGTGGAATCCTCGATCAGGACAACCCAAGTGTGCAGGAAATATCCATGCATCCCGGATCGGAACTTCATAGTCGACATCTGGTCCAATTCTGGCTTCTAGGCCATATCGATATTCAGTCACGGAGCCTGTGATGCCCTTTCCCGTCGCAACGAACAGTCTATCGGGCCTTTGCCAGCCCCATTGAGAACTGTCGGGCCAGCTATTGCCTGTCACCTCCTTCAGTCCTTGGGCCTTCGGAAAGGGCGGATGTGGATCAGTGGTGACGAAGTCAACGACAGGAGACCAGTTGGCTATGGTTCCCAGAGCCACCGGAGGCTCGCGAGGAGGTACCTGCGTCCTGTCAGCCGAAGGAGCAAGAGGCACTGCACTTGACCTCATATCCCTTACCTGCCAGATAGCGCCAGGGCCAGAATCCCCTCCCATAATCAAGATATCTGACCAATTGTCTTGGAGAGCGCAGAAAGCGTTGGCAATATTGCATTTGAAGTTGCCAACATTGACACTGGCTCCGAGAATATTATCAGAGTCGATGTCAAGGAACATGACGACGCCGTCTTCTCTGGCGAGATAGATATTATCTCTACTGGTAGAAAAAGTAGACAGACGGTAGGGCCTCGTCCACGCGGTCCAGATCGGCTTGGCTAAGCCGTGGTGGTATTCCGAGGTTTCGTGGATAGTCATCTGGAAGTCTTCGAAGTCTGGTGGGCCTTGGAGTACGTCTTTGCACACTGCAATGCCTTGGGATGAAATAGCGAAGAAGGCAGTTCGGACGGTCAGTGGAATGACGAGAACTGGCATCTGGTAGTCCACAGGTAATCTGTGACCGCGTTTATCCTCCCCAAAGACATCCCTGAGGTCGTCCCCAGCCTCCCATTCGTAGGTGACCATCCGTGATTTGCCATTCCTCACCACGATCAATAGGAGGATCACATGATAGTCATCCTCAGGCCTTGGGTATAGAAATTCCATCTTGTGGATGACACCCTGCACGGATCTTGGACGTACAGCCCTGAATGGCCTAAGGGGCCTGTCGCGACAATATTGCTCGTTCAGCGTCTGGATCGATTCGAGTTCGTGAACGACAAAAAGTCCTTCGGCACAGCCCAGTGCGACATATCGTGAACTTGGGTCTACGGCCATGTGGAAGCCTGGGTTGACAACGCGAGTATGAGGCGCGCTTATCAAGGTTGATTCGAACACGGCTTGACCGTTTGTATCGGGACGGAGGAACAAGAGCACACAGTCGCCGGACTCGAGCACCAAAAGGAGCATTTGTGGGGGTAGTTGTTTCTGGGTTCCCAGGGAAGCCATAGCCGACAACGGCTGAGAGTCGTTCATAATGACATCTTCATCTTCGGTTTTGACCTGCGTGCTCGCCGCCTCGTCACGGCCCTCTTCCTTGACCGAGTTGGGCAGGAGGCCGAGCGGTTTGACATTTCGAATACGAGACCCGAAGTCGTTTTTTCTGGCAATGGTCTGCAAGCGACCGTCTTTCCGGAGTTCCAGAACTTCAACAAATCGATCCTGGTTTTTGAATGGTAAGAAACCAACTTGTGACCTGGAAGGAGGTAAAAACAAGGGGGGTGTTCTCAAATGTAATGTGTTTGTCTTTCTGAGAAGAAATTGGCGTCAGGGGAGCACTCAACTCCCTGAGTGACAGAGTGTTGAACAGGAACAATAGTTTTGCAGGCGATAGAAGCAGGGGCTTATACTCACACCTATGAAAGCGACATCGTTATGCGTAGCGGATCTGATGCGCACTGGGATGATCCAGTGTGCTATGGGGCTCTCGATGACATTTCTAGTCAGAAGACCAAGCTTGGATGGCCTTGTTGAGCGTTGCCTTGAAGGTTGGTTGGGGCCAATATTGCCCTTGAGAACGGCGTCAAGGTCGATCCTCTCGGTGACCCAGGCTCCATCACGGTAAACATTGGTCTGGAGAGCCATCACTTCTTACTCATAGCGAGCCCCTGTACCAGTATGTTGGGTGCAGGTGACTGGTCGGCCAGAGATTGTCCACAGTTCGGAGCCGGTGCTCTGACAGGAAGACTGGTGCTGGGGTTGAGTGATGATGAGACTCGGGAAGTTGGTCCAAGGTAAGAGGCCGCTGAAATCTGCGTGCCACACACTTGAGAATTCCGAACTCGCGAATGAAGAGAAGCAAAAGAAAGGGGGAATTCTAGGCAGTGTGCCGTGGAGGTCCCAAGTGACCTCTAGATGGGTACCCAGGCGGTGGATGATGTGAGGAAAGTTGGACGAGCTCGGACAGGTTGTTGCCAGAAACTGCTGTGAATAACTTTCTGCATTGTATTGGCCGTGAGTCCGTCAAGACAGGGGTGAGGAAGCAGAAAAGATTGCTCAGGGAACGGAACCGCGAGCGAAGTGGCTGGACTGGAAGGGGTTCTATTCACGGCAGGACCGACGGTGAAGTGGATCGTGTGTGGGAGAAAGCTGCTGATAATCGACGCCCAGTCCAGACAGAGAGAGAGGACAGAGGACAGAGGACAGAGAGAGAGAGACAGAGAGATGCAGGCAACAACGACGAAAGCGCACTAGCGGACAGGAATCACATCGAGTCCATGCAAGCAAGACAGGCCAAAAGGCTCTGGAGCCAGAAGAAAAAAAAAGTTATCGCCTTGCCCGGGTCAGCGAGACGAGCATGGGCGGGCGCGCGGGAGGGATGGAGTTGATGGCGATGCGGGCTTGTTGTGCGCCTTCTGTCTTTCTCGGAGGCGACCGATGGGCCCAAGTTTGGGCGGCCTTTTGGCGTGTGGTGCGACTCACTAAAACGCGCGTGGGAAGCCACTAACACAACGACTTGTCACCTTGCCTGGCTGGGCCGTAAATACCACCCAACTGCCAAATCTAATGATACTTAAAGTACTAGACAGGTAACGCCCAGCAAGGAGGTCTCCAGTTTTGGGCGGGGAGAGTGCACTCTTCCTCGTCTGGCCTGATACCTAATCAGGTACTCTGGGACTCTCCAGTCAAGTCGATGCAGACTCAACGTCTCGCTTGGGCCGGCAAGTAAGGGGCACTGGGTGATGTTGCATCGATTCTGTGATGGCAATGCAGGGCAATTCACGGTCTTTGTTGAAGATCATCTGAGAGAGCGGGATTTAACTGCTTGGGAGTGGGCGTCTGGCTCACGAAATGTTCCGGCATAGGCCCGAACAACAAGCAACATGCCTGTCCGAAAAGGCGGATGAGGGGCAGACTGGCCATCCCTAAGGACGGAGTATCAACTTGGGCCCTGATGCAAACGCGATGCAAGGCCGGCTCGTGAATGAGTGGTCGGCTCAAAGAGGCTTGTATGCAGTCATGAAAATGTGCAAAGATCGGTGAAGGATCACACCCCTGCAACTGACTGGGCTTTGCCAGACAAAAAAGATCTCGGGCCTGCAGAACCTGGCACAGCGGAGCCCGAGACCCTGGGTAGCCGGGTAAGGGGTGTCTTACACAACCCCCAAAGGCACAAAGACAACACTACAGGCGAATACGGGTGATGCTGTGGGCCATGTCCATCAACGTTGCGATTGCGGACTTGTACTTTCTCTCGCTCACACCTACTCAAGGAACAGGGAACTCAGTGTCCAGAAGCCAGAGGCCGCGCCAAAGAAGACTTCAACTTGACAAGCCGACTGGCTGACCGACGGCGCTGCTTCGGCCTAGTGGCCACGGCAGGGGCCGTCTCCTGCAGCTCATCAAGGGTGTGCATTCGTTGGGACTTGGGGTCGAAGACAAGTCTCTTGTGCGGTCGACTGTGACTCGGTCAGTTCCTCGAATGGCCACCCGAATCCGCTCTGGAACAATGTTGGTTCTGGTCTTTCCCTTGTGCAGGGTATGACGAGTCCACTTCCACATCTCTGCTCTGGAGGCCCTTTATCCTTCCTACGTATGTCTCAGCAGCCTGGCCACGCGACTGAAATAAAGGCGGCTGGTACTCTGGTGGCCCCAAAAGGTGCATCGCTTGGGGATTCTGAACGCGAGAGAGAGACACACACACAGAGAGAGAAGCTCCGTTTGCAGGTCGAACCAATCATCAAGACCACGATTGATGGCAAAGGCGCTTGTCAACATTCAGCATCACGGTCGAAGATGTCGGTTCTAGAAGAAAGTGGGTTTAGAGAATGCTCGAAAGACATCCTTGAATCAATACATCCAGCCTGGGCCTAGGTCAGCCAACAGGCATCAGACGGGAAATGCGGGAGCGACGGGAGCTTTACAGTTTGGTGTGGATGGCCTGGCGGAGCCGCACTTGACAAGGCCTCGCGCTGGTGATGTATCACATTTCTTGCGCCCCGCCTTCGATTTTGGGCCTTGGCTTCCCTGCCTGCACTGCTTGATCGACCACCAAATTGCTGATACTGATGGGGCCACGTCCCTAGTGTTCAGCCACCTAGAATGGAAAATATGCAGATGCCCAGGTGCTACTGCACGGGTACAATCACACGATCTTCTCCAGCCCTGGTGGATTCCAATGTGGTTTGGCTGTTCCTGCTTGACACGGCATGCGACCAATTTTGATGACAGGACCACATCCGCATCATGGCCTGCGGGATATTGCAGATTGCAGGGGGAGCTTGGCCCAGCTCCAGTCGACCCCAGCTTTCTGGTCTCGAATAGCCTGTCGTGGACAAGTGACTGCGATATTGCCACGTAAGGGAGAGCCGCTCGCCGAGCGGCTCTCTATTGAGCCTTTACCCCGTCATCGCAGCAGCAAATGTGTTCTCTACCCGTTGCTGAAGCCGGTTGCAAGTTTACCAAAGGTATGGTGCATCTCCCGCTCGTAAGGCTGAAAAATGTCTACGGGTCAGCAGGGCTACTGCACTTCTGTAGGTACCTACAGAGGCCCTCTGTAGCATGCGTAGTGGGGATGCCCACCTGAAATAGCTGGCGATAACACGTAATGATCTTCACTAGCGCAGGCAATTTAACAAGCCACAGGTCGGCATTAGTTGTGTTTTCTGCCGTGCTGGGTCTTAGCCACGTCGTCGATCTTGACCAGCTGGACTGCTCCACAGCTAGCTCCTGCACAATCAGCTTTCCCCGACCTTAGCTCGTCCTTTATTGTTTGAAACAGAGATGCTTAATTTCAACGGCGAGCACGATTAGTAGATTGGTTAGCTCGTATGCCTCTTTCTCCAACTGCGTCTTTGTCACTTCTCTCTCTCTCTAGGATATAGCAGACGAATAGACCTCGGTGCATCAGCTATGCTCTGAAGAGCCGTCGGCTTCGAGAGCACTCATTACACACCCAGAGAGCGTGGAGCCCTCCCGGCAAGAATAGATTGGCCATGGAGGATGCGGAGGGCTGGACGGCCTCCCCCGAGGACGCCACTCAGCAACCTACCGATGAATTTGCCAACGGAAGCACATGTGCGCAGTCAAATGAGGCTGACAGCAGCCCCAAGGCCCAAGCTATCATCGATGCTTGTGAGAGGAAAGACCTACATCGTCTTGTTGAGCTAGCTGAGTCGCAAGGCGGTTACCTCACATCACACCTGAGGAGACACACATGTAGGGCTTCTTATTCATACATACTTTATCAACAGAGTGCATGAAACTAACAGCTACCATATAGGGCCTTTATTGTTGGGATTATCGCACAACCAAGCAGATGAGAAGGAGCAAGCCGGACAGAACGGCCGTGCAGCCGTTGAGAGCTCCGCCTCAAGTGAGAAGCCCGAACATCACCGCGATGAAGCCCAAGTAGAGCTTGACGTCAACCGCGCATTTGTCTATTACCCAAGTTGTAAGGACCTCACCATCGCCCCTGCGTACTTGGACTTGATAGCAATGGCTAACAAGACGCGGTAGATAACACACAAGCCGAGGAAGAGAAACGGAAGCGAGAACTACAAACCCTAATTGTTGAAGTCCTCCGGCGCTACCCCTTTCTCAATTATTTTCAAGGCTATCACGATATCTGCCAGGTCCTCCTTCTGGTGCTCGCACCAGAGCTGCAAGTGACGGCCGTGGCTCGACTGTCAGTCCTGCGTATACGCGACTACATGTGCTCCACCATGAGCCCAGCCATGGCTCAGCTCTACCTCATCCCCGACATCCTCCGCAAGGCCGATCCGAAGCTGTGGCTTCACGTCGCCGGGACCAACCCGTTCTTCGCCCTCAGCAGCACCCTCACCATGTACGCTCACGACGTGACATCACTCGACGAGATATCGCGCCTCTTCGACATCTTGCTGGCGAGGGAACCCGTATTCAGCCTGTACATGTACGTCGCTACGATTCTCAGCAAGAGGGACGAGATCTTCGACACCCCGACCGAGGAGCAGGACGTGCTGCATGTTATCCTTTCCAAGCTGCCCAAGCAGCTGGACGTGGACGCGCTTATAGCCTCGGCTGCCCGCCTGTTTGAGCAGCACCCGCCCGAGTCGCTTCGCAGTTGGCGGAACATATCCAGCGCCAGCGTGCTCAAGACCGCAAGGTCACTGGAGTCTATCCAGTCCCAGACGCTCGAAGAGGGCGAGGCCTACTTCAAGCAGCAGGAGCTGGAGCTGGAGCGGGCGAGGAAATGGGAGGAGCAGCGCAAGAGGGTAGCAGTCATCGTCTCCAGGTACAAGCATCCTGCCGGTGCGGTGGGCCTGGCTCTGCTGGTTGGTGCTCTCGCTTTTTGGTTGCGCAGGTCGCCCGGTGTCGTCTCTCATGTCTCGAGCGTCGTCTCGGCTGTGATCTCGTTCGTCTCACGCGGGTCGTGGTCGTCATAGATAGGCACGCTGGCGTTGGGTTGGTTGGGCTCGTACTTAATTAAGTACATACTTGACTGGACTTTGTTGGGTTATCTTTTCAGAATAGGAGGATATTGGCCACCCCGCCACACCCTTGGGAGGAAGCATGGCGTTGACTACAGTCTAGCGAGAATTGTTTTGATCCATAACCAGTACAAAAATCAAGTTTTGTTCTCATGGCCTCTCAATTAGAGGCGCTAGGCCCAGCGGCTGATATGATGATCAAAAATGTGTCTATTTCGACGAAGATTGGGGTTCATGCAGCTTCTTGGAAAGCCTTCTTCAGGCTCTCGAAATGCTCTTGCTGCTCCATAGCTAGCTTGCCCCCAACGTCGCTAATAATGGTCAAAATCAGCGAATAGTTATTGTACAGGAACCGCTCCCTCTTCCGCTTGTCCTTGCCAAACCACGTCTGGCTGTGCTTGGTCAGAAACACCTCGATCTCGCTGCGAAGCCGGCGGAGACTCGTGACGACGGGCTCGTCGTCCCCGGCCTCCGTACTCAGCGCCAGCACCCCGTGCAGCAGCTGCCCGAAGCGTTGGGTTGTGACGTGGGGTGCCGCCGACTGTGTTGAGGCGGCAGACGACGAGGGCCGCGCGGGGAGATTTGCTGTCAGCTGCCTCACGCTCTCGCAGTGGTGGTCCATGACGACCTGGAGACGCGGCCAGAGAAGCATGTTTGTGCCGTTCATGTAGTTGTCCACGGCAGGGATCTTGCGTCGCTGCAGTTCGAACGTGAGGTGCTGGTTGAGCCGAATGCAGAGGAGCAGGCCTAGGCTGTCGTAGGTGTCGGATGTCAATGTCTTGGTCAATGCTTGGCCCAGGGCAAAGGTGGGCTCGAAGATGTAGTTGAAGTGGCGCGAGATGGTCGAGAAGGAAAGGGCTGGGGCGAAAAAGGATGCCAGGAAGGTATACTCTGCCGTGGCATTGTCAACAAGAGCAAGGTTGAAGTTCCGGAAGGGTACTTCGAGATAGTGTGTCGACTGGTCTTCCTCAGCAATGTGAGATGGCAGAGCCACCTGGTTGGTCGTTTTCAGGAGATCTATCCGGCGGCCCAAGTTGAAGGCGTCATGTGGAGGTCCCGCGATCTTGGCGCTGGACAGCACTGTGGTTTTTCTCGAGGTTTCATCATGGCCCAGAACGTCATTCTTATCTAGGAGGTGAATCTTGATTTTCCCAAGAGCCTTCTCGTAGCGCGCGAACTGGTTGACATAGTACCACCTCATTGTGTTCATGTAAGCCAAGCATATTTCATCGGCCAGCGTAGTATGGTGCTTGTGGAGGAATGAGAACAGGTCTTTGAACTTGAGGAAGTTTTGTTGCTGTATGATCTGAGCATTGATATGCGGCGATCTGAGTGCCTTTATTTGCGCCACGAGGAAATCCCGTATGCGTTCAACCGCCTGGAAGCAATCAGCCAACTTGAAGCCACAAGGTATGCCCAGGGAGATGTACCTTCTGCGTCAGTTTCTCCAACAGAGGACCGAGATCTGCCCAGGCCTTATTCTGTGTTTGGTTAGAGCTGTTGCGGTACGCCGTTGCTCTTTTGTCGACTTCCTTGAGCGCCTGCACCCATTGTTCATCGACATGACCCTCGGAGATCTTGGAGACTACTACTGGTGAGACACTAAGTTCCTCAACGACCGGGCCGAGGGCCTTTTCGACGGCCTTGCGGTTTTCTAGGCGCACGTTGAGCGCCGTGGATCTGGCCTGTAGGGTTTCTATGTCTGCAGATACGGCGGCCAAGTCATTTCGAAAACTCGTGAGGTTCGTCTCGACAGAAGCCAGTACATCATCACAGGCTCGGATGGATCGATGAAGATCCTCGAATTTGCCCTTTTCCTGTTTGTCTTCACGCATTCATGTGTGAGCGGAGAGTCGCACTCAATCAGGGGCGCAAGGCTCTTACACTCCTCAACCGTCTGTGGTCTGTGGGCTTCTCGGGCGTTGGGATCCAGGACGCCATTGGCAAGGTCTTGAAGCGATCGTCCGCCAAAGTCGAACTGCAGGTCAAGATCGGTCTGCGTAATCTTAGAGCTCTGCTCCGATTTAGACGTGACGCCTAGTGAGGCTTCCCCGAGGATCTTGCCGAGGGCGTCTAAAGAGCGTTTCCCGTCATCTGCGATCGTCGATTGCTTCAACCTCGAGCCGTTGGGCTTCCCGGAGGTAGAGGGCAAGGAGGCGCTCGAATCATTCGAAAGGAGGGAGATGGAGGAGCCCCTCGCGGAGCGCTGAGGGGTTGTGTAGACACCACGGGCGCTGGAGGTCCGTCTCGGGAGGGGTGAGGCGGCGCGACTCGTCGGGGTCGAGGATGCGTTCCCCGTATGACCCAGCCGGTCTAGCCACATGCTGGGCTAGAGGAATGGGCAACTCAGGGAAGCAACAATGGCATGGTTCGGTCAGGGGCTGGGCCAAGTTCTCTCGAATCTAAGGGGTGGGCGTGTAGTCAAGTCATGTGCGGTAAGCGGCGCGATATATTTGGAGAGGCGACCTGACGACGGGCCGAGGCAGGATGCGATTGTAGATGGTGATCTAAAGCAGTTCCCGGATAGCTGTGAACGTAAAGCACTTCCAGGATAAGGCTGAGCTGTCCCGAGCTCTCGAGGTACGTAGATCAATAATTTAGTGGGGAACCTACCAGCCACAGCTGCCCCCTTGTTGATGAGCGTGTCCCGTCAATTGTCCCCATCCACTGTTATCTCCTATCAGCTACTCTAGGAGATACTTTACTTGACAATGCTCTTACAGTATGAGTGGGGACCGCGGGGTTGAAGCTCGCTTCAAGGACAGCATCAGTCAACAGAAATGGGAGCTCATACAAGTAGAGTACCTAAGGTAAGGTAGCAAAGAATTAACCGGAGCAGTGCCCGCTTCCCGTCCTGCAAGCCACCGCTCTCTGGGGTCCGAGGTCATCGATCTTCCCCGATCCCAGATCCAGTAACCCACCTGGCTGCAGCCAGGGAGGGAGATGTCATTGTCTCGCATGGCTCCCTCGAAAGACAATGAACCAGACAACTTGATAGCCGGTCCGTGTATCTCGAGAATGAGTAACTCGCCGCACCCAAAGTTGTGGACTAAATGAGTCATGCCGAGGAAGCTGTATTAGCAAACATCGGGGTAGAGTTTCTGCATTTACCAAGGTTTGGTGGTTATCTTGCTTCAATGACACTCGCCTGCCTCCTGAGCAAGATACCTGGGTAAGGAAGGTACCTGTCCAACCCATCCAGTCAGGAACGCCTAGACAAAGCTCAGGGTTGCTCTGCTGCCATAGTAAGGTGCGAGGCACTTACTGTACCAGGGAGGACGGTCCCTCAGAATAAGGTCCTGCAGCAGCACTGGATTCCGTGGGTGCCCACCGGCCACCGGGGAGAGGTTGGCAAGAAGGTAGGTAGGTACATTGAACTAGTATCAAGGTAGGAGGAATACTCAAGACCGAAAACTCTGCCTCGCTGGACGAAACCGACGAACCACAGCGCAGGAATTTGCTGTGGCAGTCACAAATCTGGACCAAAATCGTGCGCCTAGTCGCCTCTAAGCTGGTGTTCCGCCCCGCAGCAAGGCCGCCGCCTAGGACAAACCAGCGCTACGTACGGAGTGCTGAGCAGCAACAGGCAGGGACGTGTACCTTTTTCGCACTGGGACGGCCCCAAACTAGGTACCTTAGCGCCCCCTCTCTCTACCCGTCGTTCTCTTTCTCTCTCACGCGCGCGCACATAGGCACAGGCACACACACACACACTCACGCCCTCTCTAGGTAACTCGCCTCTGTTTTTTTGCCATTTATTTTTCGAATTTCCTGAATTCCTGTCTCTTCCTTCCACCCACTCCTCTTCTGAACACCACACCCCGATCCGTGCTTGGACATCCCCTTGGCTGCGTCGCATTCATTCTTCTTCACCTCTTCAACCACTTCGACAGAGCATTCTTTGCCAATTCCATCAAGATGGCCGACGATTCCCAGGTAAGCTCCGCTGGTCCTCTGCCACTGCTTGCTGCCCGTCATCCTGTCGTGTGTTTCGCATATGGGCTGGCGGCGAGAGGGTAGAAAAAAATATACCCACCCCGCACACTTCAACCAACCCCGCGGCCCAACCCGAGCAGCAAGCAGCATTGTTGCCATCGCTATCATCAGCATCAAGCTCATCACTGCCCTCGAACAACAAAACTATTGCATTTGTGCAATTTCGAGCGCTTGATCCAGTCCTCTCGTCGCCCTTTTATGTTGAGTCTTTCCCCGTCGCTAACATATCCGTCTGTCCAGCATGAGCACACCTTCGACTCCGCCGACGCCGGCGCTTCGACCACCTACCCCATGCAATGCTCTGCCCTGAGGAAGAACGGTTTCGTCGTCATCAAGGGCCGCCCTTGCAAGATCGTCGACATGTCCACCTCCAAGACTGGCAAGCACGGTCACGCCAAGGTCCATCTGGTTGCTCTTGACATCTTCACTGGCAAGAAGCTTGAGGATCTGTCCCCCTCCACCCACAACATGGATGTCCCCCACGTCTCGCGCCGCGAGTACCAGCTCGTAAGTTGGATTTTCCCGGCATCAAAAGACGTCAATTGTGGCCTGCAGAAGACTAATTGCCCGTTCTAGCTCGACATCTCCGACGATGGCTACCTCTCCCTCATGAGCGACGATGGTGACACCAAGGACGATGTCAAGATGCCCGATGGTGAGGTTGGCGAGAAGATCAACCGTCTCTTCAAGACCGAGGAGAAGGACACCAGTAAGTTCTTACTTGTCATCTCTGGGCAGATCTGTTGCGAGGAGTTGAAAGAAAAGAAATGGTTTCGCTAATCCTGTTATTCTAGACGTCGTCATTCTCACTGCCATGGGTGAGGAGGCCGCCGTTGAGGCCAAGGAGGCTCCCCGTGGTTAAATTTGCGTTCCAATCTGACCAGCCGTTCTGCTACGCGCGTGTTTTCCTTGAGCGTTGGCGGTCTGTCTGCGCGATGTGCTCTTGAGGATTCAGCATGGGCTCAAGGTCGTGGATACGGACGGCGTTTCGACTTCCACACCATACCAAGAAAACCGCGTTTATCTGCTGCTTCGTTCTTATATACAGCAAAACATCCCTGTCGCCAAGATGCTTTCTAGGCCAGGACGATGATGAATGAAAAATGGGTGTTCTTAAAGTGGCGACAAAAACATGTCCGATAGAATTGCAAGAAATTTTCGTCAACATGTTACCTTTCAAAAATCCTCAATCGTAAATATGTGTGCGAACGTAGAATGCTGTGGTAAAGGATGTGGTGCATTGTCGTCTTGTCTTCGAGCCTACCTAATACCGAGAAAGTAGCATTGAACCTCCAAACTAAAATCTCTGACCCAACCAGAAGTTGATCTCGACCAATACCAGCACACGTTTGTAGCCAAACGCCAGACTTTCCTTGACACTATCATGTGAGCCCGGCTCACCTAAGAAGCCATCATGAATGGCCGTCGCGAGTTGCGGAAGTTCCGCCGGGGCGAAGGTTGCGACGAATGCCCCGCGCGTCGTTGGTATGCTGAAAGCGGATTTAGATATTGCGAGAATGGACATCGCATCGAGGTATGTAGAAATCAGTCTGCTTACAGAACGCATCGATCAGAACAGCCAGGCTAAGGATCTTGCTAGGGTTTCATTGAGTTCGACCATGAGGATGAGGAGAACTTTGGCAATAAGGGCCACGTCGCCCGCAAGGCGAAGGAGAGGAGAGAAAAGGAACTTCGACACTTATCGGGCAATGCCGCCAAGGAGCTCTACCTCGAGTGTCTCCAGCTCATTCTACGCAAGCAGATCGCCTGGCTTGTGCGCGAGAAGAATCTGCCTGCCGAGCTGGAGACGGTGGTGCGCGACATGTGGGAGCTCCGCGTGCGCGATCTCGCTGGCCTCAAATCTGCCGGTGGCCGCGACCGAGAGGACGGCCAGGAGTCGGGCTCTGGGACCGAGGCCACGCTGTACAGCTCTCAGAGTGAAGGAGAGATGTCTGACGTCTCGGCTGCGTCGTCGGCGAGCCATAGGCGCATCTGGCGCAGTCAGGTTGGCGAGCGTTGGAAGATGCCTCGCCTTCTCGACACGCTTGCGCTGTGTTACCTTGGAACTCTGCTGCTCCGTCTTCCCTATAGGGTAGGGGACTTTCAGCGATGGGCCAAGGCGGACGAGATCCTTTATCTCGGAGCGGTGAGTCTGCACATCTCAGTGGAGCAAGGGTCACTCTTTTCACTGACAGCCGATATAGGTGGAGGAGATACCCAAAGAAATGCGTGACAGGCTACCAGGCGTATATCACAGGACGCTCTTGACCAGGAATGCGATATTTAAAGGCGCCGAGCTACAAGAGGTGGTGTTTGACCTTGTTCGTGCGTATCATATCAACTACGATATGGTGTTTCCGGGTCTCAATCTACCATTGCTGCTGTATCAGTATGCAAAAGAGCTTGGCCTCCCTGGTATGTGTGCCATCCTTTGCTCAATTTTTACTTGGAAACATCACCATACTGAAGTCTTGTCTAGCCGAAGTGTTTGGCGCTGTCGTGGAGCTCCTCTCCTTCCTCAACGAAGATCTCACGTACCCTTTGGAAAAGAGGTCGACTATCCTACTGGATCATCCAGATGTGTTTCTCATATCTTGTATTGTGTTTGTCACGAAACTCCTCCACCCCTTCGACAAGATCGAGAGGGCACGCAGCGCGTCCGACGACATAACGACTCTCAGAATTGACTGGGAGGAATGGCAGAGGATATATGCGCCTCATGCTCAAGATGGCTTGAGCAGACATGAAGTTGAGAAACTGCGCTCTGATGATGCCTGGCTTATGAGTGACGCAACAATGGACGAATACCTCGACTGGTACCAACAGCTTCGGTTACCAGAGAGTGAAGGTAGGCCACCTAACAAGTCTCTCGAGCTTGCGGGAGTCACTTGCTGACCCGAAGGACAACTTCTAGACGGCCGCCAAATCACCAAACTGTTCCCCCTTTCTGCAATAGGTCGCCGAGATAAGACGGTCGGCGACGAGGCAGACGAAGTCATCAATGAGAAGGCGAAAGAGGCACAGAGAAGTCTACAAAGGGTCGAGCCACAGGACCACGATATGAGCACTTCTAAAGACGCACCTCCCTTTGGCCAGCTGCATCAGATGTATCGTGAAGAAGAAGAACTTCCGGCGGCAGCGAAGGCATTCTATGACAGAGCAGGTAAGGGCGGCCTCGAACAACCCAACCAACCTCACGGCATCCACGCTGACAAGACTAGCTGAATTGAGTGGGATCTCGACACAGATGCTGGTGCGATCTGTTCGAGCATTTGAGAAGAGAATGGCAAGATGGACAGAACTTGAAGCAGCCAGAGAGAGATCTAAGGCGGCAGAGGCTGAAGGGACAAGTGTTGGGGAATGAGGAAGCACATGTAACGAGCGAGAGAGGACCCGGCGTCGTTCGTTTACACGATGATAGCAAGACACCACAATGAGATGGGATGATTACCTAAGACAACAGTCAAGCATGAGGCGCGTTTGTTCCTTCCTTTCCGCGACGGGGGAAAAAAAGCTAAAGTGATTCAGCTGCCTGATCACGTGCGCGCGCTGTCAGACCCGTAAAGTTAGGGCTCGCTTCCCACGAAAAGAAGCGCGCCCGGCTCAACCCCGGCAGAACCCGACTAAAGGTTTTGGTGGAATTTGTCACCCCCCACCAGAATTTCGTACCAGAATTTCCACTCTCCTTCGATCATCAAGCAATTCTTCACGGAAAGCCGCCAAGAGTAAGTTGAACCGCCCAAACGTCGCTCGCGATGCCGTTGACGTGATCATGGACATGTGCTAATTATTCTTCCGCGTCACAGTGCAGATGTAAGCCCTCGCCGAACGAGACCCGATGCATGCCATTCGACAGTGGAACGTGGACTGACAGCGACGGAAATAGCTTCGTGAAGACCCTGACTGGCAAGACCATCACTTTGGAGGTCGAGTCCTCGGACACGATCGACAATGTGAAGTCCAAGATCCAAGACAAGGAGGGCATTCCCCCAGACCAACAGCGATTGATCTTCGCCGGCAAGCAGCTCGAGGATGGCCGCACTCTGTCCGACTACAACATCCAGAAGGTTAGTGGTGACAACGATTACCCGAACACCCGAACAAAACGGTCGTGCAAAGAGGAGGAACGACTTTTCGAAGGAATCCGCACGGCGGCGACCGGGATTGGATACAGCTCGACAGACATCAGGATGGAATGCTAACGGGATCTACAGGAGTCCACCCTCCACCTGGTCCTCCGTCTCCGTGGTGGTATCATTGAGCCCTCCCTGAAGGCTCTGGCCAGCAAGTTCAACTGCGACAAGATGATCTGCCGCAAGTGCTACGTACGGAACCCCCCCATCGGCCCCGATCATCTGAGGACCACGTCTAACTTGTTTCACAGGCCCGTCTCCCGCCCCGTGCCACCAACTGCAGAAAGCGAAAGTGCGGACACACCAACCAGCTCCGCCCCAAGAAGAAGCTCAAATAGACGGTTTACTCATGGTCTTCGGCGTCTGGGTTTTGGTATCATGAAACAGTGGTGGTGGCTCACGTGGAGGAATTACTCTGGCTGTATTTTCGTGGACGACATAGCATCCAAATTCCAGCAAAAGAGTTCTGATTTTGACCAATCCCTGCGTCTTGTCCTCCTTTGAGTGCGAGGCTCCGTCGCTTGCTTTATTTACTGCCACAGTGGGTAGTGTGTCTCCAAGCATGAAAAGCAACCAATCTCAAGCACCTTGCGACTGCCCTGCTTCATAACCACTGTTGAGTGGGAATAATGCCTACCGCAGAGCCAGCTTAGTGGGAAAGATACTTGAACACTGGAGTCAGCCAAGGTCTCTGTGCCTTTTCCACATGCTAGTGAATCAATGAGCTCATTTCATCATGATAGACAGACTTGACAGGGATGAGCTGTACCCCATGCCAAACTACATGTAGTTACATCTGATTCTTACATGCTGGAGAGCGCAAGACACCGACCAGTTCAGTCAGGGTTGTAGAATCGTGAATAGGATAGACTGTTTCCAAATGTTGAATCTCAATATAATGAGAAAAGGCATAATGAATGATTTCAGTCACAGATGAGATGAGAAGGTGCCGGGGTTCGAGGTGCCTGACCAGCGCACCAGCTGGCTGCCGGCCCGCTAATTCTGCTGCCTATCTTTCACCCCTGGCCATATTACGACAGCTGGTCACAAGCTTCAACCTCGCGCAAGTTGCAACCCGAACAGCTCTCATTCAAAGAAACAGCTTGGTCATTTCGGCCCCTCAATCACCCTCGAACATCCGTGCAAACTTCGGGACTAGTACAACCTATTGTTCAAACCGATACCTACAACAGCATCGAAAATGTCGGGCTCGGGCTACGACGCCGTTGTAGACGTCGATGATGAGGTAGGTGCTTGCAACTCACTGTAACGCCCCTTGGGCTGAGACTGACGCAAGCTTCCCAGGGCGATCTTGGACACACCGATCTCCAAGAAGATCTCGAATTCCATAACTCGAACTTCACAGAGACCGGCCCAGGCGCGAGGAAACCCGGTGGTGGCTCCGGCCTACCGCTCCCTGCCACGGCGTCGTCATCCTCGGGCAAGCGCTTTCTTTGGTCCATGTCGTTTTACGCGCAATTTTTTGACGTCGACACGTCTTCTGTTTTGACCCGGTGCTGGGCGGCGCTGTACCCGCGAGCCAACTTCCTCGACGTCCTCGAGGGCAATCCCGACCTTTACGGACCCTTCTGGATCGCCACCACCGTGGTCTTCATCTTGTTCCTGGGCGGCACGATAAGCCAGTATCTCGCGACGACGGGACAGGAGCCGTTTGCGTACGATTTCACATTGTTGAGCGGTATGAAGTCCCTTTGACGACGGTCCTGCTTTCACCTTGGCTAACACTTTACCATACAGGTGCTGCCGGCCTGATCTACGGATACACACTGGTCATTCCGGTGGTTCTGTACGTCGCTCTTCGATACTTCGGCTCCGAGGCCGCAAACCTTCTGGAGTGCTGGGCCCTATACGGCTACAGCAACCTGATCTGGGTCCCAGTCGCCCTGATCAGCTGGTCGAGCATCGATATCCTCAACTGGGTGTTTGTCGCCGTGGGTCTCGGCATGTCTGTTACCTTCCTGCTGCGGAACCTGTACCCCGTGCTGTCGGCGACGGATCGCCAGACGAGCAAGGTCCTGCTTGTCGTGGTGGTGGCGCTGCACTTTGCACTCGCCTTGACGATCAAGTTCCTCTTCTTCGCCCACTCCAGCCCCATCAACAAGAAGCCTGTAGAGGGAGGCGAGGGACAATAGTGGGCGATGGCTTAGTTGCGTGGCCCGAAGCAGGCTGGAGAAGAAGACCAACAGCCTGCCATATGTTTGCAGTATATTGTACAATATCATGTATGGATTAGGCAGATCAAGGGGCAGCGTCCCAGTTCTACGCATCGATATCCTCTATGAGCCTCAACAGGGAGGCACCTTAGTATAACAACGAGCGAACCGTCAATCTTATTTCTGCGTCTTGCCGCCGTGACTCTCCCAGTCAACCCAACTACCAGGGTACTCTCCTAGATTCTTCCACCCACTCTGCCGCGCGAGTCCCGCGGCGGCCCGGGAGCGCACGCCGGCCTTGCAGTAGAAGACGAGCTCCTGATCCTGACTCGGCCGGGGGAAGCCAAACTTGTCCTCGAACTCCTCTTCGCCGATGTGGAAGCTGTCGGGCGCGGACTTGATCGGGATGTTGATGGCGCCGGGGATGCGTCCCGTGGCCTCGAGTTCGGCGGGTTCGCGAGCGTCTGATTCAAGCGGCCGGGAGGAGGAGACAACCCCCGATGATGATCAGCGACGAATGGACTCGGCGCGGTCTATGAGACGCGAGACAGAGGTTTGGGGGAGGGGGAGAGGGGGAGAGGGGGTGATAGAAACGTACCGACGATGACAACCTTGGAGTCTGGATTCGAGATGAGCTTTTGCAGCTGTCATGTTCACCACCAGATATTAGTTCACGTTGCCCGTCTGCTGCGCATGTGCGTCTCGTTCATCTGCCTCGTACGCACCCCTTCAAAGTCCCAGATCTTGCTCTCGGCCGCCTGCTGCTGCTGCGAGTACGCCCGCATGCAGCCGGGGCCCGCCGCCACCAGCGACCGCCGGCAGTCCCGGGCGGCGCGGGGCCACGCCGTCGGCGCGGCGCTCCTCTCCTGCCGCCGCAGGGCGGCGTGGCCGCCACGGCGGGCCATTGTCGTCATTGCGCGGGACCGCAAGGCGACGGCGGCGGCCGTCCGCGCGAGCGCAGCGGCGGCCCGAGGTGCTGTTGGGGCGGCCATGGGGTGCTGCTGTGTTGTCGGGGTGCAATTGGGAATTCTGGTATTCACGGTGTATTTCGGAACAAGTCTGGCGATACGGGGGAGGGTTTTGTTGGAAAGACGAGCTGCTTCGTAAACGGGGGCGGGGAGTGCAGTCACTCACTCTGATAAGAAAGAAAGCACAGTAATAATAATGCTCGGTTGATCAGTGGCTCCATAGATCTGGAGCTATGATAGTTGAGCTTCCAGTATGCCGATCTCCCCAGTGGCGGCAGCCAGCTAGCCTCGTTAGTCTCAACACCCGGCCTAAAAGCTGCGGCTGAATGTTCACACGGACACTGCACTCCATCTCATACCTAGTTATCATCAAAGTTGACCAGTTGCTCGATCTTGTCTTTTCAATACTCTCTTTACTCACTCGCATGGAATCGCCAGCAGGTCATTTCTCTCGGAAATCTTGTTCATTAAGTCTAAATATCTCGAAGTTCCCTCCCGGGTTGGGCGCAGTCGAATGATGAGCCCGAATTGGGTACACCCGGATTAGGTATTACAATATTCTATCATGCGATTCATGGCCGGCAAATGCCCAACCACATATACTCCAAAGACCGTGGTTTCGGGCTTCTATGGTCAAAGAAAAAAACCAAATTGCCCTAGTCAACGCCGATGTGCTGTTTGCTCTTCGTCCATTTTCATTTCATCCAAGTAGAAGCTCTGAGCACCACACTTTTGCCAACTGCTCTGGGCTCGGACAAGGTACGTGCTGGCTAACGACACAGGATGCGGCGAGTCTGCGGTCGGAAGAACTTCTCCGTCTTGATCACCAGACCAGCTGATCACCACTTCCTCTCTTCAAAGGTGAGGGGGCAGTCATCCTATCGTATTGTCAGTCAACTGGCCGAATCATCTCCACATCGTCCAACAAAGGTCGCACTTACCTTGGGGAAGATGGTAGCAAAGACCTTGATCTCCTCAGAGATCGGCGTGGGGTGGTGCTTCCAGTCCATGAGCAGCGACGCCTTTCCAACAAACAACGCCAGGTTGAGCTGGGCATAGTGCTGTCCCAGGCAGTAGTGAGGTCCGACACCGAAAACGAGGAAGTTCTTGGCGCCCTTGACCTCTGCGTCGCCGCTGTAGTAGCGCTCAGGGTCAAACTCGTCGGGGTTGGTGTACACTTCCGGATCACGCAGAGCCATGTATGTCGTGGGGATAACCATGGCGCCTATTGATTGGAGTCAGCCATTGCGACTATTCGCAAGGGGGTCGAGCTCTGCGAAACTTACCCTTGGGGACGGTATAGTTCTCCGTGATGGGGAAGGCCTTCTTAGCCATATACGGAACCATGAGGACAGGAGGGCGGTAGCGGAGAAGCTCCTTGACGACAGCGCGGGTATATGTCATCGACTCCAGCTGATCCATGGTCACAGGGGCATGGATGTCGCCATTGCGAGTCTTGTAGTTCTCCTCGCGGACACGGTCCAGAACGTCGGGGCGCTGAGCCATGATCTGGAACAGCCATGTGGCGGCGCTGCTCGTGGCATCCTGAGAAGCAAAGAGGAAGGTGAAGACAGTCTGTGCGATTTCGTAGTCGGTGAAGTCGCGCAACAGGGGAGACGGCTTGGTGCCCTCGACCTTGATGCCCTTCTCCTCGGCCTCGCGCCACTTCTTTGACTCGAGAATCTGCTTGACCCATCCGTCCATGATGCACGTCACCTCGCCGCCTGCGGCCATACGGACCTTGCTCTTGGCGGCGCACTTGGAGAACTCGGCGAGGACCATGTCGGCGGCCTTCTTTCCATACCAGGTCTTGGTGAAGGGGATGATGATCGGGAAGTTGACCAGCTCCAGAGCAGCGGTGATGAGATAGTAGTCGTCGGCAATCTTCTTCACGGCCTCGTCCGAGATGTAGTAGCCGACAAAGGTGCGGCAGGAGACGGCGCACATGAGCTCACGCATCTCGGGCATGAAGGGCACGGGCTTTCCACCGGCATCCTTGGTGATCTGGAGGAAGCGCTTGAAGTACGTCTTGTACACCTCCTCCTGGCCGGGCAGATAGCATTCCAGGGCCCTTCTCGTGAACAGACCGTTGAGACCCTTGCGGAAGTCAACGTGCGCCTTGCCGTCCAGGAAGACCCAGTTGTCAGCGCCGAGCAGCTTGGGGGCGACGTCGACGACACAGGGCTTGACGAACGCGGGCGCATTGAAGATCTTCCTTGCCATATCACGGGTGGAAGCGATAACCACGAACCTATTGGAAAGGGGGCCACGGTCAGTTACGGCAAGGATGAGGCTACGGGCGAATCATCCTTTCTAGAACCTACTTGTGGAAGACGGAAACACAGCTCAGGGGTCCGCTGGTCCATTTGGCATAGTACTCCTCGAACTTGGGGTCCATTGACTGCAGGAAAGGTCCAATGAAGGGGGCTTTCCAGGCAGGGCCGACAATCGATCCCTTTTGCCAGATGTAGCTGACTGTCAAGCCACGCCAGTCAGTTCCGTGCTTCCGCAGATGTCACGAGTGGGGGTGCTTTGCCATACATTGATCATAGACGACGGCAACGGCGAGGATCGTCAGAGCGACGGTCCAGATGCCCATCTGGGAGATGGCTTCCATGACGGGCTCGAGCTGGGCTGGGATGCCAGAGGCGGCATACTTGGCATTTGCCAAGGGCGAGCTGAAGCTCGTCGCGTTGACCGACATGGCGTAGAGCAGACGCGACAGGGAGAATGTCGACAACGAGGCTATCGGATGTTCACTATCTGTGTGGATCGGGGCGCCGACTGGACCGCTGGAGCAGCTCGATAGGGAAGAGGACGAGTCCTGCAGGGTCGAGAAAATTAGCAACTCGAATCTCGGCGTCCGGTCCACGGCTCGTTAAGTCTTGAGAGCGAGCAGATGAGGACGAGCCTGGGCGAGCGGAGGGGAAGACGGCGGCAACCTACGTCAAGGGAACGGGACGAATCGAGAGCATGCAGAAAGGAGGGAAAGAAGATGTTTTTCTGGGAATTTGGGGCTATATCGATATTGGGAAGCGATGGGAGGCGCGAAATTGGCAGTCCTGGTCCCGCCCAGATGTACAAGTACCACCCATGTATGCGCGCTCTGTCGGTACCTACGGCTCCTGTGCGGTGCGTATGATGGTGGTGCCATCAACGGTCTAGCGTATCACTTGCATGGCCAGTCAGTGGGCCTCGCCCCTGAAATGGCACACCACTTCTCTATTACAGGCCCCTCCAGTGCTGTCAGCGGCGGCACAACAGCGGTCGCTCATTGGATGTACCTTGATATCAAAGTCCTTTCAGCAAGTCCGGTACATCTGGTCTACCTGCCTGTCAACAAGATATGGGCTGTCCAGCATTTCGAGGTACAAGGTCGCATCACTCGGCGCGCGCATTGGCACGTCATTAGAAGACATGGACGAGCTCTTATACGTTTTCAGTGTAAAAGTACCTACTTAGAAGGGGTATCAAGGGGAACTCTCTAGGTAAGGTATCTTCTTTGCATCATTTGTCCCCGCCGGGATGGGAGCAATCTGTGCTGGAGAGGTGCCCATCTTGACATTGCCCTTTGGAGCAGAAAAATATCCAACCAACCGGGATGCAAATTTTGTTGGGCGGTGGCCCGCGGGATAGGGGGGGTTACTTGTAAAACAAAAACAGGGGACCCGGCCCATACTACTTGTACAAGTAAGATGGCGCTTCTTCATGTTCAGATCCAGTGCTCCGTACTTGTACTTTAACATCTGATTTGACCTCGCTGATTGCCCACTCGCACCCCGCCTTTTCCATGCAATCGTGCCTTCGGAAAGCTTGACATCCGGAGATTCACCACCACCTGCCTGCGCATTTCTCGACGCGGCGTGTTCGTTTCCAGAACAACTCCGATGGACGTCGGTGCTCCCACACACCACATTCCACAACCCCCCCAACCCGACGAGCCGGATTACAGAGGGGCGGGGCCAGATACGGACACTGTACTTTGGTGATTCTGCACCAGATCTAGTAGCAAGAAACGGAAGGTTTGCTTTCTGCCTCCAGCTGGTCTGGCTTTGTACTCCGTAACTCTCGCCAGCTACGGTTTCTCGGGTAAAACACACGAAACTGGCAGTGACGGATATGAAGAGATGCCATGCCAGTGGCCAGCAACCCTTTTTGATCCTTTCCTTGTTCGTGCTGATTGTTGTGCAGCGCAATGCAATGCCGGTCCGGGCCCCTCCTTCGGCCGACGCCAGAGATTGACCAATAACAAGCGCGATGCATGGCTTGACATTTCCTCACCGCCCCCAGACTCCCGCATTCGTATTCGTATTGTCTGGCATCTGCCACCTGTTGTCGGTCACCACCTCCAAATGGCGATCGGAGACGTAACCAAGGGGCATTCAGGTCACTCACGAGTTAGCGGTACTCAAACGTAACTCATCGGCACACCTATTCAATCCTATAGCCTCGAACGATCACAAGCCGGTAGCCAAGTTGAACTTGTAAGGTGCCGTTCAACCCAAAGTGGTCATCCTAACACATTCAAGCCCACCCTCTTTCTCCTCGGTCCACACACTCCAAAGCCAAACCCATCTAGAAGTTTTGAACTCCCAGGGGTTGGCCAGTTGTCGAGAGAAGCTCTTGTGGCTCTTGTTGAATCGGTTGATGGCTCTCGATCTTCGCGCAGAAAGCTGCAGGCCTCGCGAGGGTTGGAAACTAGATACCTCAGCTGTAGTCAAATTCAAATACTCATGAGGGTGATCCTAATCATTAGCACTTCACTCCTAAATGGACGCTCTGCTTCAGCCTTGAAAGGAAGCATGTTCTGAATGCCTCCTACTCATAGACCAACTCTGGATGGCTACCTATATCTCATCAGGCTTGCAGCTCCTGGCACCTGTGTTTTGACATTGTTAACATTGTGGGAAATGACAACTTGAAAGCGATATCCGGCAAATCCCCCCCTGCTCGGCGGATCCATGAGCCATAATAGGCATATCTCCTAGCAACCCCTCAAAGGCCTTCGGCAAGACATGCCTGGAAGTCTCGCTGACACGTAAGGCTCTTGTTGCCCTGTCACACCTTGGATACGGCGGCAGCAACGTGCAGGATGAGTCAGACGAGGCACACACGATCACGATGGAGAGAGATGGGATCGCATGGGACAATGCGGCGGGCTGGACCTCCTCGAATAGCCATCGCGGGCAGCATTCTCCCAAAGAGTCAAATCAACCGCGCAAAGTCAAAGGCCTAGTCATGAACGTCTGCGCTCGGGGCCATGATGCGCCGTCTTACACATCCGGCGCCGGTTCGTCTCCACACTTCCGGAAGCTGGGCCCCGCCGGCGACGCCCGCGAGTACGCTTTTCAACGTCGGACCAGTGGCGCCTGCCAAGACACGTGGGCATTGTCCTGAGTCACTGGAGCTCTCTCCTCCCCCTATCTCAATGATGCAAGACGCACAGAGCGAGTTGATTTGTCTGCTGTGTCACTGCCAAGGCTTTTGACCTCGACAACCATGTGCCTCCTCAACCCAGATGACTCACCTGGCACGGCCCCCTTGCTAGGCTATGCCGGCCCCGTAGACCTTTCGAACTTGAGATGTCTAAATCAGGCAACCATCCCTCCGAGGTAATGACATTCCCCCTGCCATTGACCGGATGTAGTCAGATGGAAGGGGGGGGGGGGGGGGGGAGGGGGGGGGGGGGGGGGGGGGGGGGGGGGGGCAGAGCCTGGTACGTGACGCACTCACGGCGTGTATAAAGCCCAGGGACACGGTCTCTGCCTGAGGGAGCAGACTGTCTACACAGCCAACAACTCTAGTCTCAAGTACCAGATCTCCTAGGAATACCAGCCTCGTCACCCCGTGCCTTGCCACCCTTCTTTGTACACAGAACATCACTCGTCCCAAAACGACTTTTGTTCCACCTACCAAGAGCCCACATAATAGTACAAAATTTCCCCAGTTCGACGATAGACAAGCTCATCATCATGACCGACGGATCCAACCACGCCTCTCAGGAGCAGTCTCGCCAGGAGAAGAAGGCCAGCGACACCGCCTCCATCTCCAGCTTCGGCAGCACTGTTGGTTTGCTCAGGGCCAAGCTCTCCCGCAAGGGCAAGAAGAGCGACGACGAGAAGAGAGACAGCGACGCGCAGAAGCAACGCATCGAGGAACAGAGCAAGATCCACAAGAGCCAGATGAAGATGGTCGGTTGAGATCACCTCGCGGATAGGATTCGGACATACGGTGTCTCTGTGTTGCAAGGAGATGACAGCAGCACCGGCGACCACATGGTTACTATCACTTGAGGAGTAGTGAGCATCCTCGAGCCGCACGCAGGCCCGGCTCGGATCGCTCCAGGCCGTAACAATGGCTTCCCAATGCTTGGGCCTCGGCCCCGGCGCCGCGGTGGCGGTGATTCTCGATCCTCCGAGAGTGCACTGCGGCGCCTTATGGCTCGAGGACTACAGTAGGGCTATCGCAGCCCTACAGGGGGATACAAGATGGATCTTTTGACTCTGTCAACCTAGGTGAAGAGTCACAAGATCGAACGGATGGTTGTCGTTCATATCTTTACATGGGTCTATGAGCACATACTATGAATGCTGGGAAATGTACGGCCAAGTTGTGACAAGGGGTATCTTTGACAAGTCTAGCAGTACCGAAAATGACGAGATGCACTCACGCATCTATCAAACGTCCCAGTGGTCATGATTCTAAAACGTGTCATCCAGAATGTCCTGGTTCATCTTGACCATGGTGGGACTGTACTCTGATGACTCCTCGGGCTCGGCACCGGCAGTCAGGAGTATATCGTCCACGATCCGCTTACTTGCCTCCCTCGCTGCGCAGCACAGACAAGTTAGCATGCCACATCGATACCAAGAGTTCCTAAGCAAGTGTAGAACCTACCCGGTGTTTGAAGAAGCTTGGATGCCGGGAGGGCAAATTGTATCGTCTTTGGCGGGCTCATCCCACCGTAGAGATCCCCCGATTCTTCCTCGCTGTCACTCTCCCAGGTGATCTCGTCCTTATGCCTGTTTCCCTTTCCTTGCTCCAGCCCGAAAATGTCTTTTGTCTTGCGGCCGGTAGCCGGGGTCTGCACGCTGATGCCGGGCGTCCGCGGCCCGCTGGGCACAGCAGCAACCTTCTGGCGATATGCAGACCGGATAGGAGACATGAACGCCTCGCTTCGCAGCTTGGGCGCCTCCATCTCGGGAGATGACATGGGCGACGACTCCTGCCAAAGCGGTACCTTTTCCTTGGCCTTGCCCTTGTCATCTTTGGGCTTCTCCGTCACCTTCCACTTGATGGGGCTGACGCCATGCGACATGGGCTTGTGTGGCGTGGCTTGGAGCCGGTAGTTCTTGTCCAGGATGCGGTGAAGCAGGGGGTCCTTGTGCTTCCGGGCCGTTGATTCTTGCAAATCGCGCGCGGCCTGATCCAGAGACGACCTCGGAGTCATGGACATGTCGGGGAGGCGAGCTGTATGCTGCGCCAGGAGTTCAGACTCGTCCTCGTCGCGCAGTTCTCCTGTCTGGGTGGTATTGTCCTGGTCGAGCTGCCGCTTCAGATTCTCGTATGGAGAGTCCAGATCGGCAAATTGAGGTTTGATTGTCTTGGTGGCAGGTGGTCGAGGCGTGCTCCCAGTAAGATCGCCGTCGCCATCTGTCAGCACCGAATCGCCCTCTCCTTGGTAGTTTGCCGACTGGTCTGCGCCTGCTGTGGTGTCGTCGTGGTGCGCCCGAGGCGTATAGCCTGCAGTTGTGTCATCGTGAACGGTCGTCTCCTCCGCAGCTGTGGTATCGTCATCATTGGCTAGTTCTTCATAGCCTGACAGTGATACGTTGGCCGAAGCCTCAAAGAACTGCTTCCAAAACTGACAAGAAAACGACTAGTCAGCTACTCTTTCGGGCCTGCTCCAGCGGCCTGGCAGTCCTCACCTTGGAAGCTTCCCAAACGGCTCTCGAATGCTCGCCATATTGCTCGACGAGAGGGAGGATGCTCGTTGTGACAATGCGATGGGCCTTGCTGAAGTTGTGATCGATCTCTAACAACGGCTCTCAGCAAATACGTCGTTTGGAAGGGAAACGCGGGGCCTTCGCGCACCTTGCAAAGTCAATGTTATAGACTGCTCAAGCTTCTCAAGTTCTTCTGTTGTCGACAGCGGACGCTGAGTCGTTGACCCCGGTCGGGACATGGTGGAATCGCGGCTACTCGACTTCCATACAGTACAAGGGCGTGCGACGGTGTCGGGGACAAATTGTGGCAGCGTCAACATGAAGTTGTGTTAACGGTCCGGCGCGTGTTGACGCGATGCGGGGCAACCCCAATTAAGAGCCACAGCAGCCGACTTTTGCGCTGCCATGTCTGCTGATCCAAACATTTTGCGGGGCATTTGTTTCTCTAGTCAATACAAGTACAAGTAGAATGGTTTGGAGGAAAAGCCTGGAGAATGATTTGACGAGGCATGGATCTTTGCTTGCCATCCGGCTTTCACAAGAAGTGCGTAAGAACATCGCATTGCCCCGTTGCCCGTTATTAGACCGAGGCTGCACCAGGGGAAGGCTTGGTCGCATCAAGGTGCGTGGCATTACATTGCATGGAAAAAGGCATTCTCAATCAATTCAGGGTATCAATATGTCTCAACACTTGAGCTTGCAGCCGTTACTCAACGGCCTCGTCCCCGACCTCTTCCACGGCCTCTCCCTCTTCCTCTCCCCCTGCCTCCTCCCCGTGCTGTCTTCTTCTGCCGCGTAGGCTTTTCCGCCTCTGGCTCTTGGTCCTCTTCCTCGTCATGGTCGTCTTCCTCGTTCTCGCCTCCTTCTGCTTCGTCCGCATCTTCCTCTTCGTCCGCATCCTCCTCCTCGTTCTCGTCTGCTTCCTCCTCTTCCTCCTCTTTCGCTTCATCGTCGTTGTCTTCTGCTTCCTCCTCGTTTCCATCATCTGCCTTGTCCTCTGGCTCCGTAGATTGAGCTTTGCTCCTTGACGCGGCGCGTCTCGAGCTCCTTGTACCCCTTGTCGTCTTCGGCGCAGCCGCGCTCGGTAGTGAGGATGGTGCGTCGGAGCTGTCCACCGTACTGGACCGCGTCCTAGAAGCAGTTTCGCCACGCTTCCGCTTACCAGCGCCAGTACTTGGGGTAGGCTTTGTGACGCTTGGAAGCGCATCGTCGCCGTCGCCGCCGTCCCATTGGGCAGGAGATGACGCTCCTGATCCGCCGTCGGCGAGGAATCGCTCGCTCATTGCCTCGTAGTAGTCGTCAAAAGGCAAGTGGAATTCTTTGAATTTCGTATCGAATTCTGGATTATCAATGTAGTCGATGTTGTTATCACGCTCATTGATGGCGTCCAGGTCGTAGAACCACCGCAGTTCTTTCCAGATGCCCGGTATGCGCGTGTGTTGATATACGTCGGGGTCGATGCCATGGCAGCGCAGGTGTTCCGAGATTGCTATCACGCGAAAATGCCTATGCATGCCTAGGATGCGTAGCATGGTCATGGTCAGCTTCATGCCTGCAAAGTGATCATGTCTTTCTCCCGATTTGGTCATCCTACCGGAGGGCTTCCATCTGATCACACCCTTGAACAAGGAAGCACGTTGCTCATCCGTCCAATGGCTGGTGAGATCCGCGAGTGGCGCTTGGGTGGACGTTGCTGCAGTCGGTGTATCCGCCGCCTGGGGTGTATCGATGTCCATCGCATCATCGTCTCCTCCCCGACTGGGTGTAGCAGTCGCCGAGGGCGTTGCGACAGACTGGGCACTGGCCCTGCCCTTCTTCTTGGGAGGCATTGCGGCCGTGCTGACGCTGTTGGCCGCGTCTCAGTGCTTCAACTACGACGAGTGTATGTTGAATTAATAAATGTACACAGGTAAGAGTGCGAGTGTTGCTTTGGCCAGCCCCTCAAGTCTGTAATTTGCAAGTGGAATTTTGAAAGTCGCGATTGCTACAGAGCTCTAGATTGATGCTACTGGTGACATCTAGCGCGGGTGGGTCAGAGCTTCTGCCCTTTTCTGGACTTGCTTCCAAGGTTGCGCATTGGCACGAGAAATGGATGAGTCTTCAGGCTCTTCGGGGCATCTAAGTCACGCTAAAGGGACAGCAAACGCCCCAAAGCTATGCAGAATGCGCTATTACCACCCAAACATAGGCTGTAATGCGAACCGCCTCAGTGGAGTCCTCTCGAATGGGGGTCAAATCGATAAATTGTAATGAAGAGACAGACTAACTAAATGGATATGTATGTCGGAAGCACAAGCCTGGATTTACATCGAGAACTCCTGAGCTGTGAGCAGATCTCAGGGGACATGCCTGGCCTTGATTCCTATTCATTTCTCTGTTGACGGCCATATAGTCCTATATGACGCCTAGCTCGTCGGTCGATGCGTTGACGCGACCTGGTTTTGTTCATGTCAACACGCGTTTCGCCGCCTGCTTGATGACGTGCCTCACTGTCAAGCCGCAAGTTCAACTCAACCATTATACTAGCTAGATGGGCAGATACACCATCCGTCTTGAGATCTAGGGTTTTTTGGTCCTGGGAGTTCAAAACCTTCAAGATGGAATCCGTTCAACCGGGCGATGTGTTCGCCATCCCGGACTTCAGAGAAACATGTGAATCCTTGGAGATATCGAGGCCCGCACTGCCCAAGGAGGCCAGCTTCTTCGCCTTGCGAAACTCTTGTGCGTTTCTTCCTGCTCTATATTGAACGAGTAATGCTAACAAGTATTTCGTCAGTTGATGAGGGCCCCTTTGAAGTACCTCAGGACCCTGCCCACAATGTGGGCTTCTTCAAGCTCCCGCCTGGTCTGGAGGGACAGAATGAGAACGACGCAGGGGTTGTAGGGGTGGAAAGGTCGCCGCCGCAGGCTGAAAATGACCCATCTGTGTCCAAAGGCGCTCACGACGATGAAGACTTGTGGCTTGCTGAGTCTACATTGATTGCTCGCCCTCCTCAATATCAGACTTGGGATGGCTTCAACGCCCCCGACTCACGGATCCAGGCCCCGCTGTTCATCACGGAACAAGGGCCCGGCGTGTTTGATGCTTTACTGGAATCTCAAGGACAGACCTCCAGCGCCTCTGGGTCAAGCCTGGTCACTACAAGGGAGTATTGTGCATGCCTGCTCGCACTGGCGCTGGGCCGTGGATCAATATTGTTCTCGTGGGATTCCGTCAAGAAGAGCTTCGTCTCGGAACTGGATACTCCCAGGGTCACTGGATGTTCGGCTGAGACCATTCAAGGCTTACAAGAAATGTGCCTTGCCTGCGGCAATTATACTCGGTTTCTCAAAATGTCAGCGGAGAAGATGCACACGACCCATGCGTCTCCATCCAAGGTTGCCGTCGCCGACCTGGTTGATCAGCTGTTGCTGGTCATTCAGAGCGAACTGGGAGCTCGAGGGCAAGAAGTGGTCTCGCTTCTCCAGCTCCAAGCTGCCGTCCGGCCAGTCTTCTCGATTCTAGGACATTTTAGATCCCTGGTACGGAAGCTTTCCAAGATGCGATCAGACGAGGAAATAATATCGCTCCTGTTTGAACAATCTCAGGTGACTGAGCATAGAGACAGCTTTCTACGGGATGCCACCCAGGAGATGCTTCAATCCATCTCGAGGCCGTGGCTGGACTTTGCAGCCGAGTGGACAGGCCTGAAAGCCGAGTCTGGCACAAGAATGAGCAAAACTGGCCCGAGCAAGAGCTTTGTCAAAGTCGCGAACAAGTCATGGATCGACGATGCTGGATTCGACCTCGAAGAGCCAGATTATATATTCGACGAAAGCAACATGCCTTCTTTTATCCCTGCGGACATTGCACAGTTGATGTTTCAAACTGGCCAAAACCTTAGGTTCCTCTGGGAATATCATCCTGACCATCCGTTATCCGACATATCAACTGTTGATGCTGCTAGTCCACCCCTGCTGCAGTGGCAGTTCGACTGGACTGCGATCAGCCGCGTGGAACACAAGGCATTGGCGTACGAAGCCGCTTTGAAGAAAGCGATTCGAGAAAGAAGTCTCACAGGTCATCAGAGCAGGACGACGGACCAGGCGGCTGCCTCGGCGATTGGACCGTTCCAGATCTTTGGTCGAGGTGAAGATGAGATCCAGCAGTTTGTCCTCACGTCTATGGAAGAGTTTGACAAGGACCCGCCCCATACTCGAGATGACAAGTTTGGTCAGCTACTCAGACACCGCCTCTTCAGAGGCAGTCAGCTGGTTTCAACTCGCCCCGCGGCAGCCCTTGCGACGTTTAACCCACACCGGAGTCTGATACCCCTACTGTCTTTTGGTCCCATCATATCCTGTCAGTCACGAGTCGTCAACCAAGAGTGTTTGAGAGTTCTGTTCAATGCCCACAACCTGAGGCAACATCTGAGTGTTCAGAAAGACTTCCAGCTCCTCGGCAATGGCGTCTTTTGTAGCCGAATATCCCATGCCTTGTTCGACCCGGAGATGGACACAGCGGAGCGCGAGGCTGGTGTTGCCCTCACTGGCGGTGCCATGGGCCTACGCCTAAGTGGTCGGCAAACTTGGCCTCCTGCAAGCTCGGAGCTTCGACTGGCTCTGATGGGTGTCTTGTCAGAGACTTATCAGGGCCGGCAGGCAGCGAGCAAGAACGCACCCCTGAAGCATGCCGAACTGCCTGGTGACATGAGCTTCGCGGTGAGGAATCTCTCCAACGAGGAGATGGAAGCCTGCATGGATCCGCACAGCTTGGAAGCAATGGACTTCCTTCGCCTTTCGTACAAACCGCCATCTACTCTTCTCCCGATCATCACCCCCGTAATCCTCGTCAAGTATGACAAGATATTCAAGTTGCTGCTGCGCGTTTTGCGCATGCTCTACGTGGCCAACCAGTTGTTCCGAGATATGTCAACTCTGGCAGCTTCTGGCACACACGAGCTGGATGATACCAGCCTGAGATTTCGGATCGAGGCACATCATTTTGTCTCTTGCATTACGACTTACTTCTTCGACACTGGTATTGCGAAGCCTTGGTCGAGGTTCCAGACTTGGCTGGACAGCATCGAGCTGGCCCTGCGTGATGAAGACGCAGCGGTGGCAGCAGACTGTGGCCCGGACACACTGCGCGAACACCACGAGCGAACGTTGGACCAGATAATGCAGACGCTCCTCCTACGTAAAAGACAACAGCCGGTGCTCGAGCTTTTGGAAGATATCTTCAGGCTGATATTGCAATTCTCTCAGCGCCATGGCAGTTTGACGCACGGTGAGCTACAGGGGACGGCACCACAAGGCCAAGGCATCGAAGAGCTCTACGCGTCTTTCCGAAAGAAAGTCGGAGTGTTTCTGACCGTCTGTCGTGGGCTTAGCGAGAAGCGCAACGCGACCGCAAAGGGGCACCACAAACGCGATCCAGAGGACAGGGCCGGAGAGGACGATGCTGATGCCAACACGATCGACCGCCTGGTACTGCTGCTGGACATGACGGATTACCATCTCAGGAGGCGCCCAGCTTGACGTGTCCCTCCATAGCACAGCCCACCCAACAACATAGCTAAGAGTCATGTCCATACATGTAGGCCTTGCGAAGCTGGCGCGCTTGCCTGGCTTTTCGCGCCACCCATACACTCAATGAAACGCTTCCTGTTCACATCTCGTAACAAGAACCACGGTACCTGACCGTTGTTTGTGACGTATGTGTTGCGTGCGATATCGCCAGGAGATAAAAAGATGGTCACGACACGCGGGTTCCCAATAGCTGGAAGAGCAATCTCGCTACATTCCCCCCTGTGGACGAATCTGGGAGAAGATGAATGTCACCAAGGATGTACGGAGTAGGCATCACCGCCGGCTGCTGCATCGGCAGTCGGTCCCAGAGCCCGCCTGGGTCTGAACGTGGTGGTGGTCTTTTTGCGACGCACTGACACCGGATATAGCAACCTGCCCCAAAATTAACAGCTAGCAGGCTGGTCCCCCTGAAACATGGCACATCACGAACGGCCAGCCATCAGGGCCAGGGCGGAACAGTCCGTCCGTCTGCCTGTCAGTGAGGGTTGGGTTGTCTAGGTAGTAAGGGGCGCGAGAACGACGAGACTGACGACGACGACATGTTGTTGTCTGCCCATGCATACACAACTCGCGGGCTTTACGAGCAAGGAGTAAGACTAGCGGCATCCGATGTGTGCCCTGTTTTGGCCACTTGCAGCAGCAGAACTCCACCGGGTCATCCTGGTCCTTCCCAGGGAAGGCTGCTTCCTGGAACTGACTGGCTGGCATTTCAGCTGCATATGACACAAGGGACGAAGTGACCGATGCTCGGCCGCATCTAGACCCTGCGCGCCAACAGAGAGACCCCATGTACGTACATGCGTCGCCGCAACTGACGTATCGTTTCTCGGGAGCCGGAGAGCGAGCAGGTTGGGCAGCAGCTTGCGGCGCGCCCAGAGCGGCAGGCATGGACTTGGAGTCAATATCGCGGTGTCCTTTTACTGCATCGGTGATACAGAAGGCTGCTGAGGCAATCTGAGCACTAGTAGATGGTCCAAACAAGCTGAGAAAGAGGGGAAGGGTCTAGGAGGGTAGCCTCCAACCGTAGGCATTTATCGTCGGTAAACCGGCGAACGAAGACCCCAGGCTATTGGTTATCAGAGATTCTCATCATCGACAATGCAGCAGATCGGCAACGGTTCCCCCAAGAAGCAAATACCTACGACCCGGAGATCAGAGTTGGGGGACGCGACGCGAGGACCTAAACTCATTTGGTGAATGTACAAGCAGCTGAATGGTGCGGAGTGTGATCCGTCGCCGGAGTGGAGAGATTCAAGACTGTCTCGTACAGACCCCAAGGGAGGTCCGAACAGAAGGACTGCTCCGTTTAGCAAACCCATGAATTTGAGGTGTGAATAACCGTATCAAGGTGTCTGATATGATGACCTCCCACGTATCCTGACCCCTGCTTGGGTGGCCAGTGACATGTCCATGGGAGTGAGTGTCTTCGCATATCGGGTCGCATAGGACTGACTGGCACCCTAGACCTCCAGTCGGCTTGGCCTGAACCCTGGTAATGTTTATGCCATTTCCGGACCATTCCTCTTCTTCTGTACTAGCCTCGCTGTCTCTTCGTTTCAAAGGAATAGGTACCGTAGACGAGAGGCAGTCGGCAGAGACAAACTTGGTAGAAAGCAAGCCGGATGCTGCGACTCGCAGCCGACGATCAACTGCCTCCACGGAGATGACAAGCACGACTGCGGTAAGCGCTTGATGTGAGGTGATATCGGGCGCCCATCATCATCACACCCTTGGCCATGTTGGTTAGTGCGCAAGGACTGTATCCACACGAAGGATTTGCCTGCCAGCATATGCACCTCGCAAGCCAAGCAAGAATGCGGCGGAGTGTCCATCAAGGCAATGCCGAACGGCACAGAGTCTTTTCTCGAGCAGATCTTCACCAAATGTGCTGTTAGAGGAGACTGACGGTCTGAGAATGGTACGATGTCTCTTGTCTAGCATCGAGAGTCTCACATAGCAAGGACATGACGCAAGTTTGCTACTCAAGGCAGCTGAGCTGAATAGGCAGACGAGGTCTGAGGTCGCAGCTGTGTCTGAGGGACGACCTGACTTGTAATTGTGATGGTAGGGCATCATCCCTTGGTCCCTTGCAGTTGACAGTTTCCAGAACAATGCAACGGATCGCCGGCTTATGATGTCCAGTCCAGTCCGGCTGAGGCAATGTCGGTCAAAGCCATTTACTGCCGTCGTCATTGAGAAGACTCTTGGAAATAAGAACATAGGAAGTCAATCTGGTCCACTTGGACCCCTCATGAAGCACGTTTGGGGAAGTAGCCATACGGAAATGGTACCCGTTAAGCGCAATGCCGAAGACTATGGAGTACAATGGATAAGTGGCTCTCGACAAGAACATGGAGCAGCATACACATGTCAGGTCTTTGGGAGTCGCCGAACTCTAATGTCCATCCCTAATGCTCTGGGCCAGGGTAGGTGCTCGTCTTGGACTAGAGGCGATTCATACGCAGGAAGCAAGACTGCCTGACCGACGAATGTGTCTCCAGTAAGAGAGGAGAGATGCCCAAACAACTGTCACGCCCGCCCAAGGGAATGGGTGCCCGGAGGCTTGGGTTGGTATGGGGGTAGCGGATGTTGGAGTAACAAACTCCACCAAATATCCATCAGGAAGGACCCCTATTGCAGGCGTGTGGGCACTACCAGCAGGGCTGCAAAAGAGGCTCCAACCCAACACCCACACAGGCGGCAGGTCCCTAGCAGGGCAGAGAGGAGACAATGGGAGGTTTAACCTCATGGGGCAGTGGGACTGGACACAAGATCCCGCTACAACTTGAACATGAGGCTTGAGATGGACTTGTGGATCGACTGTCAACCACATCTCAACTTCGAAGTGATGCTCATGCAGCTGCTTGAGGATAGCCAGAAACAATCTGTCGAGTGCGGCGTGGTGCACCACAACAGCCCGGCGGCTGCCACCGAGCGATGGCAAATTTCGCTTCTGGCGGATACCCGATACTCCACGACGGTTCTTCCGCCTTTGCTCACCCAGGAACAAAGCTCGTATACAAAATGCCTATGTATGTTTTCACGCCACGACGACGCCCGGTATTCTGGGCTGCCTATTTTCTGGTAAACATACGGCGTTATGCGCGAGTGAGAAATGTTTCCATGACGCGGCATGATCTGTCCTTTCGGAGATTCGCCCGACTATCTTTGCTGGGATGTCCTATCCTCTGAGCGAAGCCCGGCGCCGGCGGATTCCTAGTGCTGCCAAGTAAGCCCACTTGGACTATCGTGACTTCTGGCGGAAGGGCGGGATGGTTGCGCGTGTCAAGGCACCAGAGCTTGACTCGTGTGGGTATCCGGTCAGATACCCGAAAGGGGGCATCCCCGATATCATGAACATGATGTTAGGAGAAGACAGTTGCAATCTTGTCTCACAAGAGCGTTTGCCATTTTTATTTTATTTGTTTGCCTGTCAAGACTGTGCGAGTCCAGAGTCCGGCCGTCGCTGACGAGTAGCGTTGGCATCCAGAGGACTAAAAAACTAGGTATCAACACATGACAAGCATATGATGCACGTCAGCCACCCAACTGAGTAATACAATTAGGTGTTGAGAAGAAAGCGAACAAAAAGTGTACTACCTCTGGGAATTTGCAAACCCAACGGACGTAGGCGTCACAATCTTGGGACACTGGGAGTGGCGTGGGGATTGTCACAGAAAAACACTTCGGGCCCTGCTCGGGGTTGCCCATTGGAAATTGCGTTTTGGGTCGCAAACCAACGTATTGTTGATAGTTATGCGGTGAGAATAGGACTTCGAAAGTCATTGAACGTGTCACTCTCCGGCTAACGGTGTCATCCTCTCACCGTCTGTGCAGTGGTCGTACAGGATGGTCGGTGACGGCGTCGGTGTCGGAGTGCGCCCCGCCTGCCAGCGGCAGCAAGGTCTCAAGCACCTGTCAAAACGGTCGCGGCTGAGATTCTCGGCTTGGATGGAGACATGCCGTGCAGACCGAGGATCCCAAGTGGGCTGGTCCCCGTTTAAAATCGCGATCCAAAGGTGGAACTCATCGTATCCACAAATTCCCTCAACCCCCTGTCTGGAGACGGTTTCGCGCCCTGGAAAGCAACGAGCTAGGTGGCCTGGGATTGGACAGGAAGTTCCATCAGACCGAGGCACGACGGGGGGAGTTCCTGCGGATCAGCCCCATGGATGACCAGTCGAAGGCTTGGATGTGCAGCGTGCCCAGCCACCAGTCCGCACCGGCTTGCCTCTTTCGGCACCGCCGCTGTTCTATGCAGGGATCTGCCACGAGGCTTGGATGCCCACTTGGTCCACCAAATCTCGAGATTCTCCCTGATCCTAAAAGGCCCCTCCCATCCATTTCCCGCCTCTTATGGCTCTGTTGTGCCCTGTAGGAAACAGGGGAGGATGGAGAGAGGCGGTATGAAGGGTCCCCTAAAACAAGAACCCCCAAGTCCGTGGTTCCCCGCCAATACTGCCACGGGAGGACAGACCGGAGACAAACATGTGTTGACTGACGTGCACCGTTTTTGAGACGAGAGATTAGATTCGAGGCATGACGAAGGTTCGATGGAGCAGGCCCGCCCGAGGACCCTGGCCATCGCCAATTCGACAATCTGCCGCATGCCAAACAGAGCGAGTTACGCAGTTGCTTCGAGGGACCGGAGGAGAGTCGCGTCGGCAACCCCCGTTTCGACGTCGATCTGCTCTCGAGTGTTTGTTTGCTGACGGCGACGCGACTTTTGCCAGCGCCCGCCTCCGCGCAACGTTTGATTTTCAGCTTTGATGGCACACTGGCCGCGCGGAACTGGAAACGAAGTTCGCCGTTTTCCGTAAAAGGGCTTGATAATTTACCCAGCACGTGCCTAGTTGTCTTGGGTTTACGAGGTCGAGGAAAGAACAGTGTTAGGGGAGGCGCGACTTGTCGGCTTGGCCTAAACATTTCTGGGATGACCTAGCGAGCGA